GGGGGGGGAGTTGGGTGGCAGGGTTAAAGACGTATTTACTTAAAAACCTTGCCGATTAATTCGAAGCACTCATTTTGGTAAAATTGTTAATAGGTTCCTTGAAATAGCTTGACCAAAAGTAGGTCTTTGCCTTCCTTTGGGATAGCGCTGGAAAAATGTAAAGTCTTACCCCAGGCTTTGTGAAGATTTAAGTTGTGATCCTTTTTGTACAGAGAAAAAAGTTTCATCTGACCCGCTATTCTGGGGTGACCCCCAGCGGGGGGGGGGGGACAGGGTGTTGGTGGTGGTACTTGATGGTCTTTCTTGTTTGTTGTTGTTGGAAAATTGTGACGATGACTCGCACCACGAGTTGAATATTTTTGCAGGTCAAGAAATCTTTCTGACTGTCGATGACCATGGTTGCTCTAGCACATAATATCATGTCTCGCATTGTGTTGCATAGCATTCTATGGTTTTTGTACATTTAACCTGCTTTAAGATTTGACTGTTTTTTTTTTCAACAATACGTAACGAAGGACTACAAACCAGTATACAAATAAAAACGACACCAAAGCCAGTGATACTAACAATATTCAATTTAATTGTACTATTAAATATATATATATATAATACAAAATCAAATACGCATGAAGAACTACATAAATTTACAACACAGCAAGTGAAAGTGTAAAATCCTCGAAATTTACAAATATTAATTTACACACACACGCATATACATACACATACATACAGACTACACTCTTTTAAATATATTACGTCTCTTAAATGTCTAGGAAAAATATTGCAACAACTCTCCCCGCTTGGAAAGCTGCCGGATTCTGTATAGAGAGTAAGAACCCCCTAGAATATAAATTCTAGAGATTGCGTCACCTGAAAGCATTCCTTAGAACAAATTAGAACGTACACAACCTTTTTCAATAAAGGAATGGGTGGGGGTGGTTCAGCGCTACACATTTAATCAGTGACGTCAATATCAAAACAAACAAAAGTGTTAGGGAAGTGATGGACGTTTTAGCTACACGTTGAATTAAAATTAGGTCAAGACACATGCTATACCTTATAGCACATTGCCTTTTTTCTCTTCATAAATGTTTAAATCTTTTTTACTGTGAGCCTTGGTGCAATAAAATGAAACATATTTATTTTTATTTGTAAAATATATTGTTACACATACTGCAAAAACTGCTTTTGAGACTCTAACATACTTTTTTAATGCCTTCTATTTATGGTAAATGGCATTTGTGTATTAGTTGATAGCATTGTGTTAAGATGTGTTTATAAAGATAAAATACACTGGGGAAACAACGAAAACGTAAAGATATTTTACTCAAAAGGCCACTTTCACAGGGAAAAAAACTTATTAGGTAGGCCTATAATGATGTCAAAGTTTTTAATGAAATTTTCAACAACAAAAAAAAACAAAAAAAAAACATGCCATTTAAAGAGAAAAAAAAAAGTATTTTTCATAAGCTGCGTCAATCGAAATAATATAACCTACGAAGAGCGGAACAGATAGATAAAAGGACACTTTCACAGGGAAAAAAACTTATTAGGTAGGCCTATAATGATGTCAAAGTTTTTAATGAAATTTTCAACAACAAAAAAAAACAAAAAAAAAAACATGCCATTTAAAGAGAAAAAAAAAAAGTATTTTTCATAAGCTGCGTCAATCGATATAATATAACCTACGAAGAGTGGAACAGATAGAGTTTGTACTGGGGGCTGGGTTGCCGAATGGTCTAAACTGAGCCAGCCCCAAGCCAGTGGACTGGAGTTCAAAAACAACACCAGCACCCCGGGTGGATGGTTAACCTTGGGTGGCAAATCACCTAAGAGAAGGCAAACTCTGAAATCAAAAGATAATAATTGATGGACTGCATTCAAGTTGTGTAAATAAAATAGGGTTAGCTTGAATTCATGGACAGGACAAAAGATTTCAACGTTTCGGCTTGGAGCCTTCATCAGGAAACAAAACAAATAGAAGTAGAACAAGTTACAAAGCACAGTAAAAAAAAAAAAGAAGAAAAAAAGAGATTTACTTTTTATTGTTACTAATTTTGTGTGTTGTGATTGAGTAATGGCGGCAGTTAACAATATGGTTTGGTTAATGAATATACTTTATTCTAAGAATTAATGGTTTGTGTAGTTACAGTACAGCCAGACACTGGAGTCTTTCAAAACCGAATTGAAAACACATCTATTTCGCAAACACCTGCTGGGTGTGATGTAATCTACCATCTTTTCCAGCTGGCTATTATCTCCTAGATGTATATTGGCCTGCGTTGTTTATGTTTGTAAGGGATGGAAGAATTAAAATGGGGTTTCTCGTATGTAGTATTTGTAATGTTGCGTTTTGTAATTCAATGTGGTATAATATAGATTTTTTTTTTCATTTCTCTTTTAATATGGGTGACTTTGTACCGCTCTTCGAGCCTTTGGGGATGAAGTGTGATTTTCAAATTTTTATTATTATCATTATTATAACTCCTAGACAACGAAGCCATCGAACCTGGCAAGAAACCGGTTCGTAACATTTGATTACACAAACACAAAAAGGAACTCTCTAAAGCAGAGCATTCCTTGTTCTTATATTTCTGAAATCAAACCCGGAGATGGGGGTTTCTCGTGGGCGGTAGGACATTGACGCAATGAAAATTCCGACAACACCTGCGTGACGTAGAGCACAGTAAAACAAACACGACACCCTACTGGTTATCCACTTGCATCCTGGCCGCCAGGAATTAAGAAAATCCTCCTCATTTGATTAAAAAAAAATGCGGCTCAAGTCGAATATTGCGTTGGTCATCTTCGTGTGCAAACAATGATAAACGATCGAGTTTGTGACGGGTGGCCGCTCCTGAATAAAGGAAACCAGAGAGCTCGCAAGGGAATCTCAATTCAAATACCTAGGATCCCTAATACTTGGGACCCTAACAAAAGAACGGCAGAAAATCTATCCAACACATGGGGGAGAAAAGTTAAATATAAACAATAGAAATTAAGTGAGGTTGATCGAAATTTCCTCCTAAAATAATTGCCAACCTGGGCACATATTTTGGAAACCTAAGCAGGTGCATCATTTCAGGTATTTTCAGGGAAAGTGGGGGAGGGGGTGGGAACCAAAACTTGGTCGACTTGTTAAATTGTTTACTACTGGAGGGTCAACAGCCCACACCAATTTAAATAAAACCTGCCCCACCCTTTGCCCTACCCAAATGACGTCCCTGAACCACAGGGCCACAACAAACAGCGAAAAAACCCAGGACACATCATCAAACACAGTTTAGGTGACATTATCATTGTCTATAAATCAATTAATTTTTAAATTAAAAAAAAATCATTTTTAGTTATTATTTTTATAAAAATTAATTATAATTATTATTAATATTTTTTAATTCAATAATATTTATTAATTTTTGGGGGAGGGGGGGGGGCTCATTTGTACGTACACAAGGGACGGGTCTTGTCCAAAAAAAAGTACGGTGTCAACAGGGTTAAAATTTGACTTTTAATGCCTACGTTATAATTAATTAATTTTTAAATTAAAAAAAAATCATTTTTAGTTATTATTTTTATAAAAATTAATTATAATTATTATTAATATTTTTTAATTCAATAATATTTATTAATTTTTGGGGGTGGGGGGGGGGCTCATTTGTACGTACACAAGGGACGGGTCTTGTCCAAAAAAAAGTACGGTTTCAACAGGGTTAAAATTTGACTTTTAATGCCTACGTTATAATACGGATGGTGGGAGGCACACTGAAAGGTAACGGTGTGCATTTTGAGGGTATTATCAATTAAGAGTAACAAAGTGTAGGCGTTCAATAGTGCATGAAGAGATTTGTTTCATCAACTTTCCTTAGCAACAGAGCGTCAACATTGCAAACAAACCTAGCAGCAACCAGCTTGGCACCACTGCTAGATAGTAGTGATGTTTATCACCGAAGGGCTGTTCCGTTTTGGGAAGGGACACTTCCCCTTTGTGGAGACGCCGACGGGACATTTAATATAGAGTTTTTAAAAAATGGCAGAACATTGGCTCGACTAGAGTATTTTGAATATAGTCATTGATTATTGTGACCAGCGAAACCACTGTCACTGACATTTCAATTTGGTTGTTTGATGTCAATATTCTGAGGTTGGATAGGAGATCGTGAGGTATGTAATACATTTAAATGTGCGAATTATTTGTATAGCTCAGGGGTCCTCAAAATGCTACCAGCGGGCCAAACCCAGGACCCCAAGGGTCAAGGCCAGGGATCCTTAATCCAGCCAGCGTGGCCGCCATAATAGTACATGTTCAGCAGCGACATACGAAGCCGAACATTGCTCATCTCATGAGCCTTACTTCCCTTTACTTCCTGAAATACTGTTAAGTTTATGATGGATAATTATTTACTTCATTTTAAACATTTACATTCGTTTTTTTCAAGTTATTTTTTAAAGTATAAATTAAGATTTTTGCAGTGTGCATAGAATATGTTGATATTTTTTTTCATACTATTAAAAAAAAAGTTTGAGCTAATTCAAATAAACCTAAATAATCATTACCGAAAGAACACACTTTAATTATAAATTACACATTTTAATTAGATCAAAATAGGTTTCTTGCTCGTGACAAGCGCTTAGTTCTAGTTCTTGTCCGTGCGTCTTTAAATGAATGGGAACATTGTTGGTTTGAATTTTTAAAAAAATATGGGTCGGCACCCTACGGCTCACGTGCCTGGCGTGGCACGCAGGGCAATTTTCAGTGGCGCGTGGAATACCATTAAAAAAATAATTAGAAATGGTTTTTAAAATGCTTTTTATAAGGTAGGCGGTTGACTTACGGGATGTTGGCACAATGTTTCCAAAGGGTTTCTGACCCCTGCTGTGGCGTGTCTAAGATTAGTGCCACCAAGGGCGTGCTAAATCTGAATTGGGCTGAAATTAAAATTTTCCGTACTTTTTCTTACGTCACTAGGGTACCTACTGATCATAAATGAGATTTGATTTCTGAAACGGGGAAGTAATAAGTTATTTATTCGACTAAATCGCATATTATAGCCCATTCACTCCCTTGCACAGAGTCGCTACAGAATGTCAGAGAACTGGAGTGATGAACTCAAGAACATTGGGGACGCCGGCGACTCTTCGCGAGACGAGGTGGACGAAAACTCGGGCAATCCCGTGTGTGAGATGGTCGGGGCCATCAAGCGTGCCCTGCAGTGTGGCGACCACCAGGGGCTCATGGTGCATCTAGGAACTTTAGAGGAATGGAGGCGTTGTGGGCGGAACAACTTGACCCACGATTACTGGAGGGTAATAGGGGAAACTAGACGGACTAACTAGACTCGTGATTAATGGAGGGTACTTATAGAAAATAGACGGATGAACAAACTTGGCTAGGTAGAGAGTGTAGATTATAAGTGTAAGGCTTATACTTACACCTATGCCCCGGTGGCTCAGAATGCATGGGATATTTATAAGTAAGTGAATAATATTGTTTGGGCAGTTGGTCTGAGATGTAATTTCTCATACGTGTAGGTGGCGCAGTATATAGGTGAGACGGAGCTCAACAACGTCTACCTCCTACTGACTGTGACGTGGGAAAAGCCTGACAACATCAAGTGGAGTTGTCTGGGGGATGTCCTATCCCTCTTGGCCCTGTCTCTGTGCAACAGGGAGATCATCTTCAGACTTCTGATTTACGCTAGCAACGTCATACCCATTCTGGTGGAGGCTGTAGGTCAGGATCAGGTGAGTGGTACAAAGTCAAATCAAGTGGGGGCTGTAGAAAGACTTACCCCTGTTATCCACCAACTCTTGTAACTTGAATGTTCTTGAAGGAGTTGAGCTTAATTATAGTCACGGCATCAGCCTCATCTTTTGGGATGCGTCGAATATAATATGTCGTAGGACTTCCCGAACCTCCCTCACCACCTCCCTCAACCACTCCCACACCACCTAAAGATCCACTGGGCCAATATTTGACATAATTATTGTTTCTGAAGCTTGGGACAAGGGCGGAAGTTTGAGCTTATATTATCTTGCACAGCTTCAAGTTGGTGTGCAGCATGGGCATGGGGATTGCATGTCTGTACTTTTTTGGTGCTAATAAATAAATACATATTTATTTCGGAAAAACAATATCTTATCCTCTATTCTTCACCGAAACAGCCTTATTTCTTTGACTAGGTGAGTGGTATGGCACAGATTTTATAAATGAGCTTTAATGGGCCGTATATAAAATCACAGAGAACCACTAATCGAGCATCTTTTTTTTTATTCTGAAGCACATTAGCCTAGATCAGAGATGTACTTGGTACCATGGGACTAAAATCAAATGTTTTTTTTGTTTTTGTTTTTAAAAAAAAAATTATTATTAGTGGCTTCCTCTTATTTGAATGATGCTACCAGTAACAAAGCCTACATAATTTCATTTGACGACATAACCCAGCCTTAGATCTCAACACCCCGCATTCCGTAAGATTCAATGCGTGCTATTTCTGCGTCTCCCCTGTGACTCTTAGAACGAAGACGCCAGGCTCCACGCCCTGACCATCATCAACGTCTCCGTCACCGTGGCGCGGGCACGGTTCGCCAGGGGCCTGCTCAACGCCAACTTCCTGGACAAACTCGTCGACCGGCTCAATGACCAGGGTCCTCATACGTCAGGGCAACTTCTGGAGAAGGTAGGCTGCACTGGACAATGCAAAACTCACGACAGTAAGATTGGAAACTGATATTTCATTGATTTTCTTTCTTTCTTTTTTTATATTTTTATATTTTTTTTAACAATGACTTTTCAGTTTGAAATTATTTATTAATTAACTCGGCGAGCCTTTTTCTTGACATATCCTTGACCTTCGTGTAATCATTCTAGACGGGTCATAAGTTCGTTGACTTGGGCGTTCATATTACTGGCAACATTAAAAACACGTTTTACGTTGTGTTTACGCAATCTCCATTCATTCATTCACTCAATCTAGGGGAGCCGCTAAACGTCCATTGTATCCAGTGGGATAGGATTTTCCGCCTCGGATGACACTTTTTAACATTAGTTTGTGGGGGTTTGGGGGATATTTTCGACCAACAACAGAGGTTTTTTCCCGGGGGAGGAGGTGGCAGGTGTATGATAAGTTATATCTATCAGCACGACATGCCCCCAAATTTATCACGCAAGTCTGTCACCCAATCCACCCAGATCCTCGAGGTAATAAAAAGTCTGCTGATGTGCGGACAGCCCTACACACACGGCTACGCCACTGAGATCCTCAGCAAAATGACCTGGGTCATGGAGTACCACCTCGGCCACAAACCGCTGCACGACTTCTTCCACGATCTGGTGCGCAGTGCCGACATCGGAGACAAGCCGCACATCTGTGCCAAGTACTGGACTAAAGGGAGGTTGAGGAAAGTGAGTGGTGCTTTGAGATTTAACAAGATGCATCCTCATATACTGCAACACACGAACAAAGTTTCGTTGTAAACAATTTTATATTACATGCATTTAGATTATAATAGTAACAAGACTCTGACCCGCCAACATTGCTTGAGAAAAGAATTGTATAAATGAGGTATTCGAATTTTTCAGGGGAAATAATCGCTAAAAATGCAACGCATTTTCTTAGAATGAGTTACTGACAGACAATCAAGGGAAGTTATTGGATTTAGGGATTCACGTGTTAAAAATCGAAGAGTTTATATATATATATATATATATATATATATATATATATATATAAACATTTGCTATGTTTAACTACTTTTTCTGACTTATCTATCTATCTATCTATCTATCTATCTATCTATCTATCTATCTATCTATCTATCTATCTATATATATATATATATATATATATATATAAACATTTGCTATGTTTAACTACTTTTTCCGACTCTTGGAAAAAAAAAATTTGTGAGCTGTGGTGACGACTACAAGTTGTTTTTTTGTTGTTTTTAAACAGGAACTTCTGAGTAGATGTCTGAGGCAGCCCTGGTTATACATCTACTGCAGCTGGCCCGCATGTGGGAACCACAACGCTGCCTTGAACACATTCTTCCGCAAGTGCGCCGCCTGTTCGACTGTCCGCTACTGTTCCAGACAGTGCCAGGAGAAACACTGGTGGGGCGGCCACAACATCCAGTGTAAAATGATAGCAAGGCCGGTTTAGCTCCACCACTACGACCTTTTATAGTGCGCTTGTACTTATCACCCCCCCCCCTCACCCCACCCCACCCAACCCATTGCCAATATTTTGTGATATTAAAATTTGTAATTATTTTTTGATCAGTTTCAGGCATTGGTTTTTTTTGGTTTGGTATTCTTTAGTTGTTGTAAGTTAGAACATAGGCTATATTTATATCATACAAACACGAGCATATTACTGCAGGAAGTTCAAAACTCAGCTGCTAGGCTAGTTTTAAAGGCAAAAAAACGTGATCACGTCACTCCACTACTCCATTCCCTTCATTGGCTACCTATACAGGCACGCATTGACTACAATTTGTCTGTTCTCTGTCACAACTTTTTCTTGGATTCCTGCCCTTCCTATCTAACCGAAATTCTTTCTGTCTATTCACCCCTTAATTCGACAGCTTCGCTACTCTGTAGACACGCGTAATCTGTCCGTTCCCAAGACACACACTAAAACATATGGTGAACGATCTTTCTCTTTCTGCGCCCCAAACAATGGAATTCTTTGCCACTAATCATACGCAACATACCAACCACCCAGGCCTTCAAAACTGCACTCAAAACATATCTTTTTAAATTATACTACCCTGACTGATTCCCCTCCTCTGACCGATAAACGATCTTGCTGGCAGCCGTCCATGGTTTGCCTTGTAAAAGTTATGTGGTGGGGTGGGTAAATATACATTGCTGTTCTTTATTTCATAAATGTATTTTATTTTAATGTCATGATTATGTCTCTTTTGATAAAATTTTTATGTACAGCGCGGTGAGCCCAGCCCTAGGCTGCTGGGGTACCGCGCTATAAAAGACGTCTTATTATTATATTAAACAGTAAGTACTCGGTGGGGCTTGCGAGCCAGATCGTTGGAAAAGCAGCACCCGGGGGGGGGGGTTAAGTCTGAAATGCCTCCCTCAGATATAGAGAAATGTTGGATGGTAAAATGAGAATTTTGGCGCCCCTTGTCTTTGTGAATTACGTGGGATTTTATCACTTACATTAAACTTGGTTCCTAACAAGATTCTATCTAAAGACAATTTTCACGCCACGGGGTGAGTGTGCCCTTCGCAAGACCCTGCTTTTGAGTTCCATTTGTTCCAAGGGTCATTCTGTTTTTCCTTGCTGTGCGCTTTCTTCCGGTATAAATAGTAGGGCATACATTGGCTCTCTGTATTTTTTCATTCATAAACCTTAGATTATCCTGGCTGCCCAGCATTTTTAAATGCATTTTCTTATTTTTGGCTTAAAAAGTTTAATTCTTGAATTTCAGCACAATGAAAACACAATTACTATAATCACATACTTAGGCTATATAATGTTCAAAAAACAAAACTGCAAAGACAAACGAACTAAAAAATGTATTCAGTTAATCTTCAAAAACTAAACTTAACACAGCTGAGTTCTGCTTACATTGTAATTCTAATAATTGTACCAATAAATGTTAGAAAACATTCAGACGAAATCTGTTTTCTGCCAGTGAGATTCACCAAGCCAATTAACATTATAAAATTTAATATCACTTCTGGCTTCAGCGCAATCGTGCCTTGGCTAATCTTTCAGAGACATCACTCCAGTTTGCAATGTTAAAGATAGCATTGACGTAATCGGCTCTCACGTTCTTGTACTGGAGGTAGTAAGCATGTTCCCACACATCAATACCAAAAAGAGGGATCAATCCTGTAAAGGAAAAAAAAAAAATTGGGCAATTTTATGTTAGGTGATATATGGAGGAAAAAAAACCGTGGGTTATGTTGTTTTACAATAACCTGCATAAGAAAATTACCTTTACAAGATATATGAAGATGAGAACACCAGTCATGCTAAGATAATCCATAATTCTGAGTTCAAAGAGCACAAATCACAATTCCTATGTCAGAAAATATGAATCACCACAATAAAATTTATGAATAGTTCTTAAGTGCAAAGGGAGATTAATACAAACATTGGGTTTAAGAATAACTGAACTAAACACACAACAAAAGGTACACACAGTGGGAAGTGGGTACACACAGTGGAAAGTGGGTACACACAGTGGGAAGTGGGTACACACAGTGGAAAGTGGGTACACACAGTGGGAAGTGGGTACACACAGTGGCAAGTGGGTACAACATCCCTCTGTGACCTGATCCACAAACATTAGGTTATATAGAGAAGGGTCAGTAGACAATCACTTGAAGACAAAAAGAGGAGGGGGGGAGAGGGCCATAATTGTATCATGTGATAAGAACGCCATTTAAGTATTGGTGGAAACTAATTCGACTGTTGACACTTTTGCTCCCCATGAGGATCATAATGGTATCTTCCAAAAATGAGTGAAATCAATTTAGCCGGGAAATAAATAACGCCGATACTTGTGAGCTATTTCACGAGACCCTCAAGAACATGAGCTATACTTCACTTCTTATGTGAAGGATAGTTGGTCGACAAGGCTTTCAATGTGCATAAATTATAATTCTGGATTATACCCTTCAGGTAAACTATTAATGGAACAGTATTGCCGCTGGAAAAATATCCATAGGTGTACAATAATATCAGGGGTGTATAACAATCATAGGTAAAAAGTTGGTAAAAGTAAAGGAGATTGTAACATACGTAACAATACATACAGTCTATAGTAATTTTTGCACTATTCAAATTCTATTTAATTTTGGAACTAAACCATGAGGTCACACCTGTTCTTACACCATTCAAACCCAAAAAATTGACATTCCTAACTTTTGTTTTCAAATAAGAGATGGATTCTGCTTAAAGTGCTATGTAGGAGAGACTGGACGGCAACTTGCTGATAGTTTCAGTGAACACCTAGAAAACATTTTCCAAGTCAAGCAAGTGCCATCTCTTTTCACTTCAATAGAAGAGACCCCAATGGTGCAACCGATGTGTTCATTATGGCTATTTTTTCCTATTACAACACACCAGCAAAGGTTACTTATATTTAGACAGAGCTCACTGGACAAGTCTTCACACTGATTGGTTGGTGCTGTTTAATTCACATTTAAAAAAAAAAAATTAAAATTATGCATGATTAATCTGTACAATTTGGCAGGTCCAATTTTAAAGTATGCAGCAATTACATTTATTGAAATAATTTTTAAAAAAATTGAAGAAATCCTTATGACATTTGCACTAAAATTATTATTAATAAAAAAAAAACCATGGATTGGATTTTCAAAGATTTTGAAAACCATATTACCTGTAGTGGCTTCCAATGGGTCCTGATTGGAACAGGTAGCAATGCGAAGTCGTCCATTGACAGGACTGTAGCCCAACCATCCCCACCCTGAACCCTGAACTGCAACAGAAGCGGCAACCAGTTCTTTCTTCATTTGATCAAATGTGTTGAAGTCTTCTTTAATTTGCTGCAAGAGATCACCGGTTGGCTCGCCGCCCCCTTTGGGGCTCAGGTTCTGCCAGAATATGCTGTGGTTAATGTGACCACCACCATTGAACCTCAGTGCAGGTTGGAGGTTGATAATGGTGGTAATGTCCTCTGAAAGAAATAAAGTTAATTATTAGGCAGTAAATGAAAACCAAAGAGCCTTATACTGATTTTACAGAGGTTTAATTCAATTGCGCACTCACCATCAATCCTTTTGCACATGAAGTACAGTTTTTCACACACATTTATTTTGGATTCTTTTTCTTTTATAACTTAGTTATGGAATTTGACATGCATTTTCAAAGCGATAAAGTAAAGAAATTAACAGGTGATTTTTTCAGTAAAACTTATTTTCAAAGTAAAATGAGTAAAACAGAGTATGGTTAAACCTGAAAAATTAAACGCAACAAAACAGCGAACGTGGCGGCAGAAAGCCTTCGTCAGCGAACAAAACAACAGAAAAAACGTTATAAAAATAAGAAATAGCACTTAGCTGGTAAGTAGTATCTGTGGGCAGCAATAGAAGTGTGCTTTCTGCCGCCACGTTCGCTGTTTTGTTGCGTTTAATTTTTCAGGTTTAACCATACTCTGTTTTACTCATTTTATTTTGTACTAACCTGATTGCAGTCTCTCCCCTTATTACCCCTTATTTTCAAAGGCCAAGTTAAAAAAAAATTAAAATGTTTCATTGCAGTAAGCATGAGAAACATATTTCATAAGGTAACAAAGGAAAAAAATATGTTAAAATTTACTTATTGATATTAGATGCAGTAGCTTATTATATTTTTACAGTTTCAGCCATTTTAAATCCTATATTTATTTATTGAGATTATTGATAAGGGGCCATAATTATAGTATGTATGAAGTGAAGGGTGAGATGATGTCAATTTTGGAGATTTTGCATACATGTACTTATGGTCGGTTGGGGGGTGGGTGTCATGGCAGAAAGTACATCCAATTTTTCACAATTCTGCAATAATTTTCCTGACATCATGACAGTCCATAAATATCCCATTTATACATCTCTAATGCTTTAATTCTCATCCAATGTTTTGTAGGAATTATTGTCATAATATTGCCCTGTGTTTTCAAAAGTGAACTGGCTGCTAGGGTTTCTCATTTTCCGGGGGTTTTGCTTATCAGGTAAATCAGGGGATAAAATTAATAAAATTAAAAATATATTATTAAATAAATTAAAATAAAGGAGCTGATGTCACTAGTTGTTAAATTGTAATTGTCTATTAATGAATAAGAAAACAGTCTTAAGGTTAGTTGACAGCTTGGTCACTTGTTACTAGTTGCTTCTTTTTCCATGGCTTATCTCTTGTAATGGATAAATATCTAATAACAGACTTATTAAGCTAAAGTTGGATATAATTTCCTGTAGAAAAAATCCATAACACTTTCTGAGTTTTGCATTCTTTAAAGGTTGCTAGTTCTAAGTTTCGATCTGTCTCTAAACATTTACAAACAAATGTTTCTAACAATTTGTAACAAAGGGTTCCTTTTGACAAAAATCAATTAGAAATGTTAATAAATGTCTCTATAAATGTATGTCTTAATACGTTAATTTTAGAAAAAAAAAACAAAACACAATATAATATAAAGGTAGTTTGACACATGAAAATCTTGGGATAATCAAGGTACTAAAGCACAAGTTTCCAACGTATGGGAGGTGACCTCAAAGGGGTTGTGAAGGGCTTTATGTGGGGTTGTCGGCTGAAACAATAGACTTACAAAAGTAGTGATTTTTAAATAGTTTTTTTTTATCAGTGTCTTAACATTTGAGTTATAAGTTATATCATGGCATTAAATATGTCTTAAGTTACATTATAGGCCTACTGGATAATTAAGTTTTAATAATTTTCTTTTCAAGAGTTTAACATATTTAAAGCCCTTTTTCTCCAATATATCGTGGTATGGGTCACTTTGCTTCTATATAAATGTAATCGTGACTTGAAAACACTTGAGAATCTGTGAACTAGAGTTACCGAGCTTAGTAATTCAGAGCAGATAACTATATTTTACAGGTATTGCAGTGTAGTGACAATTTGTGACAATCTGTGACTTGCTGAAATTTAAAAAAAACACCAGAAAAATTGTATTGTAAAAGTGTGTACCCAGGATTCATGGGAATACATGGGATTGTGAAATTTCCTGGGAAGTCTTTGGTGTTGGCACCAGGGAAGATGACCCCTTTCATCATGGTCTCCACTGGGTGACGCGGTGCAACTTTGGGAACCATTTTTATACTGTGACATCAGCGTTATCCTTTGCCAAGTTTGGTAGTGTTTTTCATAATGACATTCCAGATGTTTTGAGTGTCTTTTAAATTTCTGCACACAACAAAAATGAATAAAACCTAAAAATGAATCACTTACTTTTCGAAACAGCTTCAGACAGCTTTTCTTCAGTAACATTGAGATTATTGATATATGTTTGATGGTGCTTTTCATAATGAAGTTTCATAATGTCAGCAGAGATGTAGGGCTCCAAGGCATTAAAGTCATATTTTAAATCTGGGAGAGTGTGCTTTAGACGAATCACTGACCCTCCAAGACATCTGTAATGGAAAAAAAAAAAAAGAAACTAAAAGCTACAACCTTAGCTTAATCAACTTAATGACTTGGCTGAACAATTTTTACTTCAATAATATAGGTTCATGACATTGCAGATTTAGTTGGCCTTTCCCATCAAATAAAATAAGGACAGTTAAATTCATTTCTCCTTTTAGTTTGTATTAAAGGAGTATTACTGATATAGAGCTACATATATTCAACCATCCCAAATAAGCAAAGAAATATAGAAACTCTCATCATAAATGATGACCCACAAAATCCCCTCCACTCCTTTTTTTTTCTCCCATAAAGCATGCCAACCGGTAGATCTATGGCTTATCTGCACATAGCACAGTTTTTATACTATGTCAAGTTGTAGGGCTGCACTGGCTTTTCTACAGTTTTTCACTGGATTTAGACTAGTATTTTTGCACAAGACACATTTTCAAAACTGGTGGTGCAATAAATTTAATGTTGGACAAAAAGAAGCTTAAATCCCAAATGTCCATTCAAAATGACCAAATTGAAGATTGGTGGGTCATCTAAATTTAGAAACAGCGAAGTTTCATTGATATCATTCATTATTAATACCTAATCGTAGTATGGTACTAATTACTTTGAGTAGAAAACTGTCGTTACAAATACATTTGTTTAATTCTTAACTGTAGTATTAATTAAGTGTGCTTTTAATTTATATTAGTATTAGATAATTAAAGATATTTAATATTAGTATCAATCAATGACTAACATTATTCATTATTCCTATTTATTACAACAGCATGGCTTAATCCCTCAGGATTAGTCATTGAAGATAAACTCAACAACTTTGTCAAGAGAGACACTAACTTTCTTTTACTTCGTTAATTTTATACAGGAATTGATTTCAAATTCAGCATCTGTCCATTTTAATAAAAGTGCAATTGATCAGTGTTAAAAATACCCTGAGAATTTGAAAAAAAATAGAACTTCTAACAAGCTATTTTCATTTAGTAGATGGAATATTTCCATTTATGATTGAAGTAAACAAGCTTAAATGTGTGCGCAGTGAAGTGGAGACTATTCATTTTTATTCATGATTTTAAACATTGATAAAAAGGTGATAAAATATACCTTTTCCGACTTTTTATTTTTTCTGTACATTTTTTCATAGTGTTGAACTGTTTTTTAAAAACCTTTTGCATTTTTTTGATCCCACAGGTTGACAAGCAATGCCTCCTCCCCCAGATGAAGTCTTTTTTTTTTTTATGGATAACTCTATATTTTGTTCAGATAAATCAGACCCACTTAAAAAGAACTTTTGGACTTGGAGAAAACAAATATTTGAACCAAGTGGAAATTTCAATGTAGGCCTGTATGTATGTGACACTCTGACAGCTGGACATATCTACACTAAACAATGAATGATTTTTTTTTCACAGTGGAATCATTTAGTGAATGAGAAAATTAAAGAGTTTTTATTAATTTTAGTTTGTTTAATGTAGTCCGGTGAATTTCGGATTTGTTTAGTCAGTCCCTTGATTAACAAAAATAATTATATATATCAAATTAGGTTAATAATGTTTGTGAGTCTGGGCCTGCATATTTTATCGGTTGTACTGAATTGAATCAATAATAGTTTAATAATAATAATAGTAATAGCAATAATAATAATAATTATTCTCTCATTAGTGTCATTACTAATACTCATTTGGGAGAATGATATTACTAAAATTGAGCATAGGCTACATGTTACACATAGAATATAGGTCTAGGTACAGTTATTATTATCCTATTTATGGATGGCTATTAATTATAAAAGTGCTTAAAATAGTAATTAATAGTATCAGTATAGTATTTTATTAGTATAGGCTTAGACCGGAGTGGGAGAACCATCAGGCTATGCCAGGAAACGACAGAGGAATAGCTTCCTTTAATTTAGATTTTACATGGTAATGGGTGGATTTCCTACTTCGGATCACTATGATCTACCACGCCACCCCTGGGGTAAAAATGCTTCTATGATCTGGTCGATGCAGATAGGGGGATCTTCAAATCTGTGAAGATTTCTTCAAGGCTGCTGACCACTAGATCCTAGTAGTGCTATAACAGTAGTATTTAATAATAATTAAGACAGTGGTCTTATATAGCACAGTACCCCAGCCTGGGGATGAGCTCACAGCGCTTCACATAAAAATTTGCAAAAATAAACATGATACTCAAAAACTACATAGATTTATTAAGTATTTACTATTACTATTATTATTATTAAAGTGGTCTTATATAGTGCTGTACCCCAGCCTAGGGCTAGGTTCACCACGGTTAACATAAAAATTAGCAAAAAAGAAAAAAAGAATCATGACATTAAAAACAGTTACATAAAAAATTATTCATGTAAAAACAGCTTTTTAAAATTATTGACCTTGCTCACCCAGGTACTATTTACCCCTGTCTAGCCATGGATGGCACCCAGTAGCATTGAGCATTCTTTATCAGTCAGAGGCAGGTGAGAATGAGTCCGAATAGTAGAGTTTGAAGAGATGTGTCTTGAGTGCAGTTTTGAAGGCTTGGATGGTCGGTATATTGCGGATGTGTAATGGGAGAGAACTCCATTATTTGGGGGCACAGAAAGAGAAAGATCGCTCACCAAATGTTTTAATGTGTGTCTAGGGAACAGAAAGAATATGCGTGTCTGCAGAGGAATGAAGCTGTCGAAGGGGTGAATAGACAGAAAGATGTTCAGTAAGATAGGAAGGGCAGGAACCAGAGAAAAAGTTGTGACAGAACAGACAGCTTGCAATCAATGCATGCCTGTAAAGTGAGCCAATAAAGTGAGTGAAGTAGTGGAGTGATGTGATCATGTTTCTTTGCCTTAAGAACTAATCTAGCATCTGAGTTTTGAACTTTTTGAAATTTTTCTATGAAGTGTTTTGGTGAACCTGACTGAAGAGGGTTGCAATAGTCAAACGAGAGAGAACAAGAGCACAGACTAGTGTTTTTGTTGCGCTAACTGTGAGGTAGTGGCGGATGGAGCTGATCTGACAAATAGCAGTGTAATTAGAGCAACAGATGTGAGAAATATGATTATTGAGAGACATGTTGTCATCAAGAATGTACCCATCAAGAAAGTAGAGGATGTGAACTGTATGTTGGAGCTACCTACATGAAACGAGATGGGGAGAGCTGAGGTAGAGGATGATTCATGATTGTGAAAGAGGAATTTTATTCTGTCTATTTTGTCATCGTTCAGCTTCAACTTGCTGAGAGTCATCCATGACTTGACATCACCAATGCACTCCTGCAAGGTGTGGATAGCGGAGCTGACAAGAGAGGGATGGGTGTGGTTGTATAGCTGCATGTCATCTGTGAATGACTGGCTCTCAACTGCATGCCTTCCGAGCAGTGGCCTGGTATACATTGTGAATAGGACCGGGCCCAAAAAGGACCCCTGTGGCACTTCACAAGCCAAGTCAGCACTACCGGAGAGACAGCCAACAACAGCGACCGCCAGCATTTGCATTCTATCGGAGAGGTAAGACTGAAACCAAGCCAAAACTGAACCATAAATTCCAAAGTTACTTTCAAGTTCAATGGTTTTGAAAAGGGTTTGATGGTCAAAGGTATCGAAGGTGGCACTGAGATCTAAGAGGATCAGGATGGAGACATTACCGCTCTCCAATGCCAGCAAGAGGTCACTGCTGACTCTCTCGAGAGCTGTCTCTGTGCTTTGAAAAGGCAAGGTCTATAGGCTGACTGCTGATTAGGACTGAGAAGAGAATGGTCGATTAGGACTGAGAAGAGAATGGTCGTTCATTTAAATAAATAATTTATGACTTTATCATACTTAATGATTAAATTTATCATTAATGAATGGCTCAGTCAAGACAATAAATTCAATAATGACAATAATAATAATATTATTATTAATATTGACAATATTATACAATTTCGGTGAAATTACCTACCAATGGTGAGTATTTGTCAGTATAACTTAATAAGTATTATTATCATTATAATTTATTAGTATTCAATATTGGCATAATTGTGACTGATACTGATTGATATAAAACATGGGACATGGCAGTTATTAACTGGTTTTCTTATTACTAGTACTAGTACTAGTACGTACTACTAACTACTACTCAAGTAGTAGTACTAGTTACTACTAGCACGGGCATTTTATGCAGTATCTAGTTCAGACATAAATGTAAGGGTACTATCTGATTATGCCTTATGAGCTTCATCAATTTAAACAAAATATTTAAAAATGCATATTCCATAAATGTACCTTTTCAAAACATTAGAGGTTGTTGACAACATTTTGTTTTTTACGTATTTCCCTTTGTAGACAACCTTAAACTTTAAGGTCAACCTGTAACCTGGGGTCAAAGTTCAAGAAAAGGAATTTTAAAAATATTTTTATTTTTTAAGTTTTTTTATTCTTAACATAAATAATATAAATGAAGAATAATTTATAAATGTATACTATAATTTTTTTATGATAATATATGCAGAATAATAAAATCACGTAGTAAAGTCTCGAATGTCATTTGCATAATTTCCTGTTCATGGCGGAAGGCGTCTTCAGGTTGAACTAATCTGAAATACAATGTATGTTAATGAAATAAAACGACGGTTTATATAATCACATTTTTAAACAGAAACGTCAGTCATATGCATTAAATTTAACTGTTAACACCGCTTATCACCACATCGAAACATTATGTATTATTTCTAGTCGATATTATTGAAAATATGAGGCTGTTCTATTTAGTTTTAGCTTTGGGTTTCCCCTTGCCGAGACTTGCCATGATCTGATATGCATGGATTGTGGTCAAATAATGTTTTTATTTTGGGTAACAATTTCGTATGAATTACCGAATTACTAATAGTTAAAAGGTTATTAAATAGTGGTCTTACTTTTGGATTCAAAGTTAAAACCCTAAACAAATCATTTTCTGAATAGCCTAAAAAAGAATAAAAAAAGGGGGGGGGGGGCAGAGGTTGGCAACGAAGGTTCAACACCTTGTTTTGTCCACTGAATAGTACATGCTGTAACTGTAAGTACAAGTCACAGGGTTTTAAAACCTGGCGTAGCATTTCACTGAATTTCAAGGCTTGCAGAAATGGTTAATCTTATGATTTTNTTAATCAAGTGGTGGGTCGTGTTAATCAAGTGGTAGTTTGTTTGAATCAAGTGGTGGGTCGTGTTAATCAAATGGTAGTTTGTTTTAATCAAGTGGTGGGTCGTGTTAATCAAGTGGTAGTTTGTTTTAATCAAGTGGTGGGGGAGGGGGCTAGATATTTAAGGCCATTAAATAACACCGCCTCATTTTATAATGATGGTGTTGAGTGTCTTATTGCTGCTTTGAGATTGTGTAGTCACAATGAACTCACTAGATATGGCAAAAGACAAAGTAATTTTAGCGCAATCACCCTAGTGACTACTGACTTGTAAATAATTTACTTCACATTCACTTGTTTGCTTTGGTACTGTATGACGTAATTTTGTTACATAAATATTTTCTTTTTCGGCTGATCTGCAGTGATTGGGAAAACAAAGAAAGCTACACATTTTTACAAAAATGCATCCTCATTTGCTCCGCACAACAGTGCTAGATATTGACATATGTAATGACAACTAGTAAGCGGCATTTGAAATCTATCTTTAGAAAGTACACCTTTAATATGACAGTTCTCGAATCCCTTCTCACAATACAGGTTGTGATAGTTTTTTGACTATGTCAACGGAAAATAAATTAAGCTCCTTGAAATGCAGGGGTGGCCAACATGCGGCCCTCCACCTTTAATATCGTGTGTGTATATGTATGACAAATGAAATTTTAATAATAAATGAAGTGCCTTAAGGAATTTTAAATTATATCTATAAAACAATTATACTATTTAGTAACTACTAAAATTAAAGAATTTATATAATTTCTAGGTAAAGGGAACCTAACATTTCACAAGCATTTACCAGTTGTTCTCCAGTTAAGTGGAGAATGATGCAAAACTATATTCAGGGATATGCCAAAGCACATCGCAGCATTTTGAATTAAAAAAACAATTCCCTTTTGGTGATTTCCGCATGTGTCCTCGATTTCAGCTCCCCACTAGATCTTTTTATATCAAAGTAACAAAAGACGGGCACCTTTTCGTTAGCAAAAAATAAGCACTTAATTTAAATATATAAATATCAGTTATATACTTTGGGAAGTTACCCTTCTTAGACATGCAATGCGAACATTTATAAAATTTATGGTAAATATTATAATTATACTGTATGTTTACCATCTCAAAATTGTACATACTGTATAGTAATATTAAATAAATAAAGTACAAAGTTGTACTATTTTGGGAGTTCCGTGGTGCAAGGAAAAAGAATGATAAAACAGAGGAAACATTTAAGTTATAATATTAATTTGTATATCTTAAAAAACACTTCATTAAACATAAGCCTTTCTGTCTACAATTTGCTTTGCTATTCAATTAATAAATTATAGGCTTAGTCCATTATTTTCGATTTATAAATTAACTTACTTTTGGGTAGGTGATTTAAGAATTAATAAAACAATTTGCAGGTGTGAAACTAGTCAAATAGCTCTTGGTGTATGCCGAGTTTACTGACTTACCAGGTCGGTAAGGTGAATGATTATTTTTCTTTGTAAATCAAGTTCACAAATGACTTACAGATCACATTGTCGCTAGGAGTAACTAAAACCAAGCCAGTTCTGATAATTATCTAGTAATATTTGTTTTTTAAGGTGACTTTTAGTAAAGAATTTGAAATTAATAAAATGGATTTTGATTCCTTCACACATTTCTTGACAGACGAAATCTCCCACATAGTCCATCAATAGTGCTGTATATTACAAAAGATAGCTGGAGCTTAAAATTTTGTTATATTCATTAAATCATAGTTAAATGGTTAAATAGCAATTACCATTTAACTATGATTTAATTGCTTTAGATTGCTTGATCTGATAAGTTAATTCTTTAAAAAAAACCGCCTTACTGAACTTTCTCATTGGTAACCAGGACAGGTAAACAGATTATTGAGTACCGTACCTGTACGATACTACTGTGTACATTAAATATTTTCCACTTAAAATTGTTCACTTAATTTATTGAAATTAATAAATATTTAATGAGCCTTACTTAAAATCATGCCGATTGTGTGTTCCCTAAGTTTTCTTTCCAGAAATTTCACTGTAACAATGTCGCGAATAGTGATATAAAAATCTAGCCTTAACTACAAACTTTCTCTACTTTTTTTTAGCCTTACCAATACACATTACTAACTCGTATACTATACGCTTTTCCATACAACGCGGTCAGCCATTTTAGTTAGTATTCTATAAAATATTAAAAACCAACCTGCCATAATTTAGTTTGATTTACTTTAGGTCTATAGATTTAATTTAAGAAAATTCAATATTTATCAAAATTATTATTGTTCATGCCGGCTGTTATAGGTACACAAAATATATATGTACCGGTGCCAGCTGTGGAAATGCAACCACTTGGCATGAGTAAAATACTGTGTGATTATATATGAGGGTTTGTTACCCGACTCTATATTAACCTGTATAGCTGGGTTTAGGATTCGCCTATACACTATGTTTGCCCGCCTTGCTCAGCGCGATCCTAAATTTTTAAACTTTGTTACCCAACCTTTTCACCCTTTTGAAAATACGCGGTAGTCATTAAAGTATTTGCCATTTTACAAAGTACAAAGGTTAAATTTATTTATCGCCCACAAAATAAAATATTGCATCTTTTAATGCACTGACACTTTGGTATCTTGATGAGGTATCCTTCTTTCCAATCTTTTGGAACTTCCTCTTTACTTAAATTGGCAACCAGAAATTTGTACAAAAATACTTAGTTTTGAACTGTTATTTTTTTCAAACAGAAGTTTATTCAAAATGAAATAATGTGGAAAAACCAACAAAAATAAATTTCATTAGTGTTCATTTCCCCAATATCTCACAAGCACATTCCTCTAAAAGCATTAAAAAAAAGGAAAAAATATCTGTTTGTCAAATTTTTTGAACATACCAATTTCCTTGGTAAAAATTTCTTTCATATAATTTCCGGATACAATTTTAAAGAGGTTATTTTAATTGTATTTATGCCTATAATAGGTAATAACTACTTTTTTGTGTTTCCATGTGTTTGGCATCCATGCAATGGTTTTTAAAGATTTTCTCCCTAAGCAATTTGACTTTCCCAAGCCACTCACAACACACATAATTGAGCTTTTGAATCAAACAGGTATGGGAGAACTGGTGATGAACATTTTTTTTTTGGTCAGAATTGAACTCTTACCTTGCAGAAATAGAATACATCCACCATCCGCAAATTTAAAAATGCTAATTGATACGCATATAAAAAAAAAATAACGGACTTAATTTTTAATATTTCGTGATATTTTTTTCAGTTATTCCAGTTATCATGTCTGAGGCCTCTTTGTCACCCAAAAGGGTATGTTTTCATATTTATTTGGTTTTCTAATCTTTTTTTTCTTTAATCAAGCAAGAAAAAAAGAAGTTAAGTACATAAACATTTGTCTTCGTTTGTAGTCTAGTGTAGGTCAACATATTCATTGAGATTTAGGAGACAAATCTTAATATTGGATTTGGATACAAAAATTACCATTTTATATTAACATGCTGTCAGAAAAGTATTTTTCATTCACTTTCAGTAATTGTTGAAAAACACCTCTAATAACATTTAACATATTGTATCGAAACATTCATTCAAATAATAATTGGCGGTTTTATTTCTAAAAAAAAAACCAAACTAAACAAAACAAGTGATAAAAGCTATATTCAAGTACCAGTAGTAAAAACCAAAATAAACAAAACTAGTGATAATATTCAAGTACCGGTAACTATTTAAACTGATGTTATTTTTCAGCCTCGACTTGATTATGATGATAACTCAGAAAAAGAAGATCGTTATGACAAATACAAGTAAGTCTTTTTAGGCTATACTTCTGGGTTTCATTTTATAAAAGTATTAATGTTTATTACTATTATTAATATTACTAAAAGAGGAATTATGATAATTGTTTCAGCCTATTTTAGAATATGGTTAACCCTTTTCCCTGAAAATTTCATTTTTTAAAGGTCATATTCTTTAATAAGCTTATACTCTGAAAATTAAGTTGTAAAAAAAAATATATTTCTCCAGAAACCGTGATCGTGAGCATGATGAACAAAACAATTTTTTGCAATCAAAAAGCAGAAAACGGTCTGACCCAGGTACGTGCATTTGTGTTTTAAAAAAATATTTTTTTATAGCTTTAAAAGAAACTATTTTTGGTTATGACATTTAATTACTTGCAATGCACTTTTTTTTGTTAAAAAAAACAACAAACCTTTTCACGAAGGAACTAAATTTTTCTCTGTATATAACCTTTTTTTTTTTAATCTCTTCAAAACTGGACATTTTAAAGCAAAGTAATAAGGAATATAAATTTAATTTAAATGCAGTGCACATTTATTAATCCCTGTATTAGTTTCGGGTAATTTAAAAGGAATTAAATTATTTATTAATAACAAATAAATATTTGAATATAGGTTATGGAGTTCCCCATAAGAATTGAATTGTGTTAGAAACTTTTTATGAATCTTTGACTTTAGATGATGATGATGGGAAAGAGGATGATGCTAAAAGTAAAAGTATCAACATAGAAACAGCTCGCCGGGAGCACACTTTGGTAATGAGGTTAACAAACAAAGAACAGGAGCTTCAGGATTGTATGGTATGCTTTTTGGTCTAAAAGACTCCACAACTACTTCACTTAAGCTCATTTATATGAAATGTTTAGTTATTTCACAGTTATGTTGCTTGCCTGTTGTTTGAATAAGATTTTTACTATGCTAAATGAAATTAAATTTTGAATTCCTTATCCTGGGAAATGATAAAGCAACCGTTATTTTATTGATTTAAAATATGTGGATATCCATGTTGATTTTTAAACATAAATATTTCTTTTGGAATCTGTAACTTCTGCAGATATATTTTCTATTAATATTTTGTAATCTGTTAAATTTTGTAAAATTTGAATACTGATAAGAAGTATAAAACGATACTGAAACTTTCTTTTCTTAATTAATTGCAAAAGGATTTTTAATGTATAGATTTTTTTAATAAAATCTGATTTGAGTTTTGGGGTATCAAATTAAATCATTTTTGTGTCCCTGCTATGTAAATTTAACCTGCTCCACTGTAATTTTTATTTCCAAAAGTAAAAACCTTAATATTTTTTCAAAGTAGTGTATTTAAAAAAAAAAATTTGAATGCAAATTTTTTAATAGTAAAAATATAGTTTTTAATTTTCTGTGCATGTTTACTTCTGATACATTTTTACTGAAATAGGAGGAGGTTAAATATTCTTTATATCTTCTTGGCTTGCCTATAAGTGGGTACTTTAAATTTCAGTGCTTCTTTTTTCTTTTTAATGTTTTGAATACCTGTATTAGTGTATATCTATTTTTGAATGTATCGATGGAAATAGAGAATAAGAGAGATTGTTTGGTTGGATAAATAAGTTTGGCATACATGAGGCACATTTAAAGCTTTCATTTATTGTAATAAGCAAAAAGTATGTTTTGATGTTGTTTAAAATAATATTTTTTTATGGTTGAAATTTTGATTTGCAGAACCAAATTCAAGAAATGAAGCAGGCACAGACCCAAAACACAGCCCAGCTGCGCTCTATGCTTCTTGATCCAGCCATCAACCTTGTATTTCAACGTATGGCGAAAGAGATGGATGAACACAAGGAAAAACTCAAGCAAAAACAAAATGAACTCAGTGCTTGGAAGTTCACGCCAGACAGGTGTATATATTACCCCTCTTTCATTTATAGATGTTAACATTTTCTCCACGAGTGCTAGACTCAAAGAGAGATGTCACTTGATGGAAAACAATACAATATTTGGATGAATTGGAAGCCAAGGCAGAACCACTGTTTGTGCCCAGAAGCAACTTCTCCACAATCAAGCTTTGTCTGTGGTTTTCAGCCAATCCTCAATAGGATGCAAATTTCCTTTGCTCGAGTTCCGTCAGTGGGGTGTGACATCCAACTTGCCTGCCTTAAACCTGTGTGGATGTATGGGTCATCCCCCTCATTCTTAGCCCATTTGTGATACTGATTTAATGATGAATTGAGCTCATTGAATTGAAATATGTAGTCTGCTAATTTGATCGTTGCATATCAGCTGAGCTTCAATGTGATAGGAGCAAACTGCGCACTTAACAAGCACTTTAAATTACTGTTAATCCCTCGATCTGTGAACTTAAGTTTAAAGTCTAATTAGAAGCATTGTTTCACATGATGGTGTTGGCACCGTGACAGAAAGTTCAGATTTCGTATGCATATGGATATCAGTGGGGGCTGTACTTGCACAGTTCTATCTTGAAAGACATTGCAAGGACATGGGGTAGCCAAAGAAAAAAATGAGTAATATATTTCTCCATGCATCCTAAATATTATGATGGAGTGTTCCACATTGTTTTGCTTCATTCCTTTGAGGATATATGGCTTTGCAGGTCACAAAATGTTTTACAAGAAAAGGGGAAGGGTTTTGGTAAATCCAAGCATTTTATATTTGCAAGTAAAAAATTCCATAAACAGCTGTGTTATAGCTTGCATATTTTTACTTTAAAAAATACAAACTGTCTTTCCCTTTCTTAAATGTAATTGTTCTTTCTATCTCAAAAAATCTTATGTTTATATCTTTTTCAATTTATTTTCTGTCACGGAACTGTATTTTGAAAAACAAAAACAAAATAGCATGTGCATTTTATATTGTTTGTTTCATACAGTATGTGTATACATTTTGTACTTACTTTGAAGATTCTCTGCTACTAGCTAAATATTTTAGATAACACCGGATCAGTCACACCATAGGCTATTGGTCAATTTCGGGTAATGTCCCCATGACAAGTTTTTGAGTCATCTTGTTACCAACAAGGAACTGCGCATGGTAAATTCCTATGTCAGTTACAGCAGATTCTACACAACCCTTGAAAATTGAAAGTTTCAAAAGTTTCATCATGGCCATAGAAAAGTATGTGCTAAAGTCTACCTACCATAGAACTACAGCGACTTTTTCGCTTGTGCATGACAGTCATGTATTTCAAGTCTCATACTGTCATGTAGCAGAACTGATCAACCACAGAATGCCCTGAGCTTATTTTACTGTTCACAACCACATACATATCTAATGGGCTCAAAATTGGGATGCAAGGCATCTTCAGAGTTAAGCTGTTTCGAAACTGCACGTTTACATAAGGGTTGGACAGCAGGAATATTTATGGTAAAACTCAAGTTGGATAAATATGTTATGATTCAGCAAATATTGGCAGTAAATAATTTTCTTCATTAAATGAAATTGCTTAAACTTATACAATACTTATATGAGCTTATTATATTTATTAAATCTTCAAAGCTGATGCAATTTGTTTATGGTCTTTTCAAGGATTAACTGACTTGGAATAATGTACCAGAATTCTGCTACATCTGATTTGTGCAACTGTTGTATTCTGATAATCTTCAGTATCAGCAAAATGAATCCTAAGTTTATGGTGTGTTAAGAATAATATTCATAAAAGAAAATATAGTTATGGCATTTGATTTCATAAATGTGATTTTACTAAATGTAGAGTTTATGATGCAACATGAGCTGACGATTATTTCACCTACTTCGTGTTGCCATAATCTTCACAGACCAGTATGAATATTGCTATACTAATCCTTCTCAAGGTCATCTGAAATTTTACCTCAAAAGGCCAACACTCCAATGTAGCTCTAGCTAAATAAATTTTTTACAAGAAAAACCCCCCTTGAAATGCTGCATTCAACGTTATTCGTTCATCTACATTGACCATTGAACACAGTATTATGATGTGTTTAAAGTCTCCTTAACGTGGCCAGGCACTTCATAAAGAATTCAACACATTTTCAACCATCTTCACTTCTTTATTGTGTCTGTGCAAGTTTGTGGGGATGCTCAGCAAGTATTTATGCAGCATGAATCTCAAGCCATCCATTCATCTACTTTGACCAATGAACACAGTATGGTGATGTGTTTAAAGTCTACTTAATCGTGGCCAGGCACTTTATAAAGAATTCAACACATTTTCAACCATCTCCACTTCTTTATTGTGTCTGTGAAATCTTGGAGATGCTCAGCAAGTATTTAAGCAGCATGAATCTCAAGCCAGCTCACATCAAAAGATATAACTTTTTCCTGCACCTACACTGTTGAACTCAGGACAAAGGGCAAGTTTTGTGCTGTACTAATTGCAGTTCAGATCGTGTTATAACTGCATCTGAAGTCCAGAAATGGTGTTTTCCTTACTTACATTGACTTGTCTCAAGCTGACAGTCATCAAACGTTTTAAATTGACAAACTCAAGACCAAACATTTTAAACAATGCCCACCATTCCAATCACAGAGTTAGCACTTACATGGTTCTGTTCCCAAATCATGCCTTGCTTTAAGTGATGGTCTGTCCTTGCACTAGGTGAGTATGGTGTAGCTCCTCCATTGATTTCATTTATCAGTTTTTTTCCATCTTTGTTTAGCTTACTTTCTGTCATTTTTGTGTGTCCTGATTGATGTCAACTTTACCAACAATTTATATTAATACCTCAGTTAATTTGAGATGAATGCTATTTTTTAGCTCCCTCCCCCCCCTCCCCACAAAAGTAAAGTTTTACTTCCAATTGTTCATAACAGAATTTTGATTTCCATAGTCATTGTTTTGTTTGTTATGGTTTTCTGTCATTTTTGTTTGGCCTGATTGATGTCAACTTTACCAACAATTTATATTAATACCTCAGTTAATTTGAGATGAATGCTATTTTTTAGCTCCCCCCCCCCCCTCCCCACAAAAGTAAAGTTTTACTTCCAATTGTTCATAACAGAATTTTGATTTCCATAGTCATTGTTTTGTTTGTTATGGGACCCTGCTCATGATTCCCTCTTACTGGTCAATATAATTTTATTGTGCATTGTCATATTTTGCTTGGCTGATGAACAGAGCTAAAAGAAAAATTCATAGCTACTTTGCACTACTTGGGATAATACTAAATTTCTTAGTAACATTTTAAAAAAAGTTCAATTTACTAAGGGTACAAGTCCTGGTAAGAAAGCAAACTTTTAATCAGTTGGAATTTTCATAACATCTTATTGTAGGCAATATTTGCTAAAGCATTTTTACTTTCTTTAAGATTACTAAAATTGGGATAGATGGAATAATGCTTAATATTTTTGAAAAATCAAGTCAGAAAAATTGCATTTAACAGCATATACACACAAGGAATCAGAAAGTGCATTCACCCTTTGATTGAAACAATGAAAAATAGATAGTTGGATAGTAAACTAAAATTTGTCAAGATATCTATCACTCCAGCTTCATAATTAACTTTCAAGGGTTAACAGGTAACTTAAACTTTGTATGAAACATGAAGTACCACAATTTTTCTCAATAAATTTAAAATTTATTGAATAGGAAATAGATTAACAGAGATTACCTATTGTTTAGGTAATTTATAGCACATGAAAAATAAAGCAGCATGCAATAAAGTCATTCTGCTTAACTTATAAACTGTATTGAATTAATATACTCTAGTTCAATACCAGGTCTATGAAATTTGTTGTCCCATCTCCTTTTATTCATTTTAGTTTTTTTTCAAAAGTGATTATATAATGGGAACATCACATATACAATTACATTTTAACAATACTTAAAGAATTTTTAAAAAGTAACAATTCGTAAAAAAAATTATTATATAATTCATTTTTTGAAAATCGTATATTACTTTTGATATGGCCTTGTCAGCTGATCATAACAAAATGCAAAGTTATATGGCAATACTGTAAAATTGATAAATAGTTTAGAGATATCTAATTTGCAGAAAAAAAATCAATTAACTCTAATTCATATTTATTTTGTTAGAGAAGTTGCAGCTCAAAAGCCAATACAGATCTTTAATTTTTTTACACTTATTTATAATTCATGGGGTTCCCAAAATGTTCTTACCAGATATAAATAATATAATTTATGGGGTAAGATCACAAAGGAAAAAAAAAATGGGTTGGTGCATATTATTTCCGCTTTCATATCATTTGTTGTTGTCATGGTTTGGCTTAGTAAACATGGATAAGATAACGTCACCTTAAATAGAGAGGATAGATATTATTCATAGTAAAAGTATAAATTTTATTTTAAAAACTATATTTTTGGGAATGTTTTAATTAACCCTACTTAACTTACTAAAATCGAGTTTAGAAACAATAAACATGATTTTGGAACCTACCCAAAGTGGTAAAAGTAGGCGTAAACCAGGGGCAAGCTGCTAAGTTTAACAAAAATTTGAATATATGCCATAAAAATGGCTCCTCGCTCAAAAAAGGTTATAGATTCTTTGTTAAGAGAATTTTTTTACAAAAGAGTGTTTTTATATTTTTTCAAAATTGTTTTTAATTATCTCTGTTTAAAATTTCTGAAGGTTTTATTTATTTAACTTTGATATATCTTTCCCAATAACGTAAATTATGAAACTTTGCTCTACTTTCCCACTCTTGAAGTAACTAAATCTTGAATTATTGATACAAATTTTAAAAAATTAAAGACTAAATGCGCTAATCTTTTGACATATTATATTGGAGTAGAATATAATCTAGTTTTAACATGCATTCAAAAGTCATCCTAATAATGGACATCATCTAGAGCTAATTGAAAGTTAAAGGTCAGGTGTATTTGATTTGATGCTACATTGGAAAGATATTCACTTTAGTATTCTTAACAAATAAAGATTAATAAGTTTCTAATTCTGATTTAAAGGAAAACATTGCATGTGTGAGAAAATAAGTTATCTAAAAAAAAATGTTTTTTTACAAATAAAATTTAAATATTACTTTTATTAAAGTAACAAATTAAGAGATACAAAGTGTATTGAAAAATTAAATCTAAATAAAATAGTTATATTTGTGCTGCACTTCCTGCGCTGCACCTAAAACACAAATCATATTTCATTTTTAAATTTGATTTAAATACTTTAACATGCTTCTTTCATGTAAAAGAAATGGCTCTGCATTGTGCATTTGGGCGGAGAAATGGAAATACTGTATATATGTATTGGACAGGCTATGCACTTTGAGTAATCAAATATTTCATTTATGTAGAAAATTTATAGTTTCTTTCTATTGGTAGACTTACCATCCTTTAACTATTACTTTAACTAATCCCTTTAAAATAAGATAGTTGAAATTTGGATTTTTTTAAAAATCCGAACAAAAAATGTTATATCGGTTGCTTGGGACGAAATAAGAATTAGTTTTCAATGAAATCATAGGAAAATTGTTCAGGAAACAAAATCATGGATATTTTGGGGTTCAGTTTTTATTAAACTAGTAATTATGCCAATTTCTTATTTCTGTGTCTGGGTAAATTGCCCTTTTTCCTGCAGGCTAGCACAAAAACGAGCAAAGGAAAGTTGCACTCCATGTGATTGTAGATCAATAATATGAAGACCAGCAATTCTCAATAATATTTAAATGCAGATACCTGAATGTTTCAGTGTATAAAAGAGGATGCATCTTATAACCTAGGAGACCGAGATAAAATAAAAAAATCTTGGTCTTGAATATTGAATTATGTACCAGTAAATCATGATTTTTATAAGGGTATGAAGTTTTAGGAAGAAATAATCAACACCATTTTGTCACCTCCAGAGTCAATATTTGACATATTGATTTTATTAATATTTTGCCAAAAAAAAAAAAGATTACAAAAAAAAATTTAAAAAAAATTTTCTATTAACTGCAACTTTTTTTTTCATTTATAGAAGAAATTGTGTTTAAAATAGTGGAGAAAACATTTGGCAACGTAAATTTTTCATTTATTAATGTATATATATAAATTAAATTATTTTTAATTCAATTAATTTAATTCATAACCTTATATTTGAATAGAAATATGTCATTTACAGTCATTGATCAAAGACTTACATAAATTATTTGCCTTCAGTCAAACAGGCATGCGTTTAATGGCCAAGTGCCGGATGTTGCTGCAGGAAAATGGGGAGCTGGGTAAGATGATTTCATCTGGACGAACAGCAAGGCTTGAAGGAGAAATAGCACTTCATAAGGCCTTGGTTACAGAAATGAAAAAGAATCAGAAAGGTAATTTTCTATATTTTCATACTAGAGCTTATTGGGACGGAGAAATGGAAATGCTACAGATATGTATTTGACAGGCTATGCACTTTAAGTAATCAAATATTTCATTTATAAAGAAAATTGATAGTTTCTTTCTTTTGGTCAGTGGTAGACATACCATCCTTAAACTATGGTTTTTAATTCACTGCAACTCTCCCTTTAAAATAAGATAGCTGAAGTTTGGATTTTTGCTTGGGATGAGATAAGATTTAGCTTTCAGTGAAAACAGGATAGTGGCACTTTACTTGGATAATATTTTTACTATTTAAATTGGGAGGTTCATTTTGATAAGTTTTTTCCCCTACCTAAGTGATGGTCTAAAACTTGCTTTTTAAAAGGTTATGTATAATATATCTGAAGATTTTTATACACTTACAATTATTTAAAAATGGCTTTACTTTTAATTTTCACACTTACCAAGGACAATTATTAGAGTTTACTGATGCATTTATTTAGTATTAATTTCCCCCAAACTCTTTAACTTTAAGCATCTTTACAACATAGACCAGCATTTCCCAATTTAGGGTGGGATGGGGGTGGGGTTGCTCACATCCCTAAGGGTTGCGAGAAGGTATTCCAGGGGGCTGGGAGAAGGCATGCCAGGAGATGGGAGGAAAGGGATTATACGAGCAGAGTAGAGATTACATTTTAAATTATGATATATGTTACATATTTTTAAACATTACATCATAACATTTTCCTTTATGAATGTCATAGTTTTATATTTTAAGTTCCACAGTCTCTTTGTAATTCAATAAATAAATAAATTCAATAAATTAAATGCATTTTACTTTGTTAGGGAGTGGGAGACTTAGTAAATCAATTTGTTGGGGACGCAAGACTAGTCAAATAATTCATAGTGGGCGCTGAGCATAGAGATGGTTGTGAAACACTGACTCAGACCGTGCTGTAAATCATCACAAAATTGCTTTCACTGTTGTAATAGCTAGTTCCCACTAATTTATAAGATAGGCATTGTTAAAATTATACATCATATTTTATCAGCAATTATCTCTTCTGCTTAGAAGTATAGGAATGAACTGAGCTAAAAAAAAGAATTACTTAATTTTAAAATGTTTTAAGGGAAGTACTTTAATAAATATTTTACACATTTTTATAAATTAATTTTAATTAATAGTTTTGCTCATCATTGCATGTCATCTGCTGTTGATTATTTATTTTTTTTCACCTTTTTTAAAAGATTTGTCTCAAACAAATTTAATAATGTCTTTTGGTATACAACCCTGTTTCCTATTGCATTAACAATACCAGGACTTTGTCTTTTGAAAATATAAGTCACTTTATCACCTTATCTGAAATAATGTTATTTATTACAAGTATTAATGGATTTCCGAGGCACACATTTTTTGTGTGTACTTGAAAAATCCATGAAAAATACTGCTTTTTTAATTAGACACAAACTTGAATATTAAATACCAGTCCTTTTTTTTAATCAGCTGTTGTTGATTTCAGAGCTGGATGAGTTCCTGAGAGAGTTAGATGTTGATGTCGAAGGAATGCAAGGAATGATATTTATGTTGCAACAGCAGCTAAAAGATGCTCGAGATCAAATATCTCGCCTCCAACAGGAAAATGAGCAATTGAGGACTTTGCGTCACCCAGACCCAGAAGTGGGTGTGGGTATAAAGGAAAATAGTTCCACACCATTACACAGCTGGTCACCAGAAAACCTTGAGAGGGACTCAAAGCTGCATGCTTCAACAGCAAACTCAGGTAATAGTACTTGGTCTGACCATGGGACGAACAGTTCATCACCTGTGATGGTATCTTGTCCCGCAGCCTCGTCCACTAGAAATCAATCTGACCCCTTAGCCATTGCTCAAAACACAGAGGGTGATTTCAATATGGATATGTTTGCTGTTAAAGTGACACCTGACTCAGGGATGCAAACCCAGGAAGATGAAGATGTTTCCCTAGATACCACAGACTTTAGATCCTCTCTGGAGCTTCAAGATCAACAAGGAGATTCTCGTGACTCACATTCAAAAATGGAGCAAGAAACTAGGATGTTTGATCCTCTAGAGGAAAGCTCTCAGGAGCCTATCTCCTCACAGACAGGGGATGAAAGAACTAATATCTCCATCAGCACCACCGGATCTAACAAAACAAATGACAGCAGACCCACATTTATGTCATCATCATTAAGAGAAACTAGTGCAACATGTTTACCCATTGATCGGACAGCTCAGCCAACAGTGGCTGAAAAATGCTCTGCTTTGCTAGGAGAATCTCTGACTGATGGGAGAGAGAATTGTGCAGATAGGACAAACTACTCAAACCCAGGTATAAAAGATGAACCTCCAACTTTATCTGCTTCATTAGAGACCACTTCTGAAAGGACCTGTCTTGATACTGTGCAGGATGACAAAACGGCGTTACACTCCTCTTTAGGTTTAAATAGCTTAGTAAAAGCTGAAGACGACAGACAGGACTGTCAGTCAAGATTGGGTTTATTAAATGGGACTTCAAACCTTCCAGGACAAGGGCTGTGAATGTCATCTATGCTGTAATACCCCCCATCCCCGCCTGCCTGCCCAGAATGTGCTGGATTACTCCACATATGTTGGTGCTGGTGCACTTGCGTGTTGTTTCTTGAGTTGTCTTAGCTTTGTCTAAATTAATGCTCTCAACAGCAGATACTAGCTCTTCAGACTTTTTTTTCCTGGAAAATCAGATTTTGTGGCTTTTAAATCGATTTTGATGTAAAGAAAAAGTGTCTTAACCACCTTTATTTGTTCAATTTTTAATTAGTTTAATAAAGAAAAAAATAAAATCTCAATTTAAAAAAAAAAAGAAGATAAATATGAGATAAATCTCACTAAATAACTGTGTAGTGAATTATATACAATTTGTTCTTTATGATAAACATTAACATAATGGTGAGTCCCAAATAAAAATTCACACCGGGTAATCTTTTACAAATTAAAAACTGAAAGCTATTTATTAAAAGTGTATGGAATCTTGTATTTTACATAACTTTCTCAATTTTGTGGCAACCATTTATGTTCATCATTAATGAACATCAGGACACCACATGCTTTCGTTGATTTTTACATAGTTGAATAACAATATTACCAAAGTAATAACCAAAACATTTTTCTGAAAGTGTTTCAGTATTAGTGATTAACCTAGCCGTATAAAATTGATAGAACTAAGAAATGAGAAGCAAAATGATAGAAACGAGGAGCAAAGTGATTCTTTTTTAAATTTTGAAATATTGGTAGCAATTAAAATAGCAAATTGCCATTTAAAAAAAAAAGACAAACTTTTAAAAGATTTTTAAAATGTAAAATGTGGGAGAACTACAGATAAACTATTACATCATACGCATGTAGTATTACCTTTTCTGTTTGTTTGGTTTTATGTTTCATACAAATATGATAATTAAGGAAAAAAGCCCTAAAAGCCATTCAAATTTTCACATGTTATTACATTTTCTGTTTAAACCTATTGATAAAACAAAAACCAACTAGATTAAGGTGTCACTTGAAAGCTTTTATTGTCCATCTTGTTATTTTTAACTTTTACATTTTATTACCCCCCAAAGTCCAGAATCAAGGACAGCAGAAAAGATATGGCATTCTTTCTATTTTAATTCAAGCGTGTTGGTATGTCTGCCTACTTTCAATGATTGTACATTTCTGAGATTGTTTTAGTGTGTGTAGAAATTTAGACTTTATGTTTCATTCTGTCTGTTAGTGTAAATGAATAAGAACTGAACTATATCACTATTAAAGGCAAATGACTTGTGTGATATGATCTTTAACTATAAATATGAAAATCAAATAATATTCTCCCACTCCCCTTTACTAAGTATTACAAGAGTTTCTTGACATGTTAGAAATTTAAAACAAATTAAAGAAAGTCTGAAAAGTTTGCTAAGCTAATCAATTCTGGCATTTGGATAAAATCTCTATTACTGTTTTATATTTCAAACATTAAATGTTACAAGGTATTGGTTTAACCTTTTAAAGTAGCACATAAAATAATCATGATTTTTGGGACCATAGCTTAGATGTGGAAATAGCTTTTTTTAAAGAAATATGACTGTATGTTATAGAAACCTTTACGTTTTACATATATTTTCCCTGTACTAAGTTATAGTTCTTAAAGACAAAAATACTATTAAGATGCAGATTATTTTAAAATATTTTTCTGATTTTAAGTTTAGAATATACTGACGTAAACCACTCTTCTTCTCTTCTATATTTTGAGGGCCCATGATCAATGCATTGATCATTCTGGCTCACATGACTTACTACACAAATATTCTCATTTCATTTTTGAAAAAAGCCTAAAAATGAAATTAATTATTTGACATCAATTCTGTTCATCCAATCACTGTATGAAATTTTATAATAAAAGAATGTGTGTGTGAGGGGAGGCAGGGAGACTTCTGAAATTAAAATGTACTTGTACATTCTGGAGAGGTGAAAAAAATTGTTAAAAGTTGCCTGTTGAACTGTAAACAGATTCATATCCATTTTCTGTTATGAGTGTAATTGTGAAAAGCTTTTGTTATTTTTTAATCTAGGAAATTATTTAATCATCTCAAATGCCATGTTTTAAAAAAAATGAGTTTTTGACAGATAAGTTTAATGAAACAAAATACAGTTTTATGAATGCATTGATCATTTGTTGTGTGTCTTATTTTAGTCCTTAAGAGATGCATTGGACAAAAATGAAAGAAATGCATTTTGTTTACCATAGGTGGTGAGGAAAGGGGAAACTATTGTAGTGTAGCATTCCATCCAGGTGGAAATATAGTGTAAGTGGATAGCTGTTTAGATAAAAGTATAACTGTAGGCCATGCACTAATGCTGATTTTGTGAATATCTACAACTTCCAAATCGTATTCCAATTTTCCTTAATTCATTTAATAAATTTTTTAATTTAATTGTATTTGAATAATATTTTTAAAAAAAGAATAGCAGGACCTGAAAAACCCAAGTTCATGGTTAAATAAACAAAATAAAAATAAAACAAGCTTTGTGACAAAGGGGGAAATTTATTTTTTACAAATTAAATCATGTATAGCAGTTACTATGATTCTAAAGTTAAGCTTTTTTCAAATTCAATCAAAAGAATGCATGCTAAACTTTTTTTAGTAAGTCAACAGCGTCATAGCAAATAAAAAAAAATCCTTTTAAAAATTAGCTGCTTATATACTTCACAGTATCAAAAACATGCTTAAGGATGCTCTGTTTTGTTCCATTGAAATGCTATTTAACCTTATACTCATTGATTGGTAATCGGAGCAAGAATCAAGGGCAGAAATAGGCATATTCCAGTCACATGTAATATTTTATTACTAACTTTCTGAATCATCCCTAAAGCTCAAGAGTGAAAAGCTAATAATTTACAAGATCATATTATATATTTTAGTTGAGGAGGTATGAGTTGGATGGACATGCTTATGGGTGGTCCGTTCAAGAGCTACTGACTCTCAATTCACTGTGGATTAAGGTGGTTCTTAAAAATTGTACATGTTGAACCAACTTTGATACTTAAACTAGAGGGTATTCAACCTGCAAAGGGCTTACAGACCAGTTTTTAGAAACTGGTCGGTTTATTATTTCAAATTTCAACAACTTGCCTGTTTATTTAAAAATTAATTTCACACGAATTTCAATGTCTATGCAAGCTATTAAAGGATATTTTAAAATTAAAAGTGTTTCGATTCCAAACTACTATTATTTTTACAATTTTAATCTGGCATTCCATTATAATTCTTATAACAATTTAAGTGTAAATGGTCTTGCTGCTTATTTCTCCTGTAAAAATCAACCCTTCAGGGGAATCAAATGAGTTGGGGTTTTCTCATGTTTTATGGAGCTTATTCCTAATAAACAGCTGCCATAACTAACCAGTATCTACATTAATCAGAACCCAGCAATGTGTTTAAATCAACTATTGAAATTAATTTCACAATTCAATACAGATAGGATGTACAACTAATTTATACATTCTTCTTTTCCAAACATATCTTGGTCTCATTGTAATTTAAAATATTGTGATTAAAACTTTAAAATAGACTGATTAAATTGTACAAATTATAAGTGAGACACATTTTGACATAGAGCTTAAAAAGTGATTTTCTGATGGTGGTTAATGAAAATGTCCTGTTTTAAACTTCAGTTACCATTGAGTATTGATTGTATTGTTTTTTCCTCTATTCCATGATCACCTTAAAAAAATCGGTGATCCATAAATTGCATGCTAACAGCATGATTGCTTCATAAAGCTAAAAAAAGAAACGTTATAGTATTATAACTACAAAAAATAAATTTATTATGTCATAGGTGGATTGGAGCTTATGACACAAGACAAAGCAACAAAATGTTTTAAGTAAAGCTAAAAAGGTTTCTTAGTGATTCAAATAATATTTGTACAACAACATATTTATTTATAGTAATTTAAATGTCCTGTCCTGCTTTAAACTTCAGTTACCATTGAGTATTGATTGTATTGTTTTTTCCTCTATTCCATGATCACCTTAAAAAAAATCGGTGATCCATAAATTGCATGCTAACAGCATGATTGCTTCATAAAGCTAAAAAAAGAAACGTTATAGTATTATAACTACAAAAAATAAATTTATTATGTCATAGGTGGATTGGAGCTTATGACACAAGACAAAGCAACAAAATGTTTTAAGTAAAGCTAAAAAGGTTTCTTAGTGATTCAAATAATATTTGTACAACAACATATTTATTTATAGTAATTTATACTTAAGCATATGAAGTAAAATAAGACAAAAGAAGAAAATGAACAATTCCATGGCAGGCAAAAAAGTTTAAAAATGGATATTTTATGCATTGCAATCAATAGTATAGTGAATTTTATTTCTTGTGCTTTTATAAGCACAAATACAGATCTAGGAAAATGAGACAAGAGTTGAATAATGAATAATTATTCAAATATCAGTGATTAAAATAGTCAGTGTCATAAAAAATATCAAGTCTTAAAGGCTAAAGAGAGAATATGTAAAGGGCACATCATAATATCAGGATTTAGCATTTGTAAATAGAAAAAAAAATATTAAAGAAAATTGCACTGGTTTTATGCTCTAGAGCAGGTCTGCACAACTCAAAATGTAAGGTGGGCCTTAATACTTTATGAAAAACTTGTGCGGGCCATAATATTTTATGAAAAACTTGTGCAGGCCGAAAGATAATAGGACAGGGGCCAAAGCTATTAAGAAAATAATAATATTTGGTTACTTCACAGGCCGCCAACTGTGTGCAATGCGGGCCACGGTCTGTATGTAGTGCAGGCCTGTTCTAGAGTAAAATGTTATTATTATCTTGACAAAAAAAACAAAGTAAGGAGATTTTTTAAAATGTACTTTTAAAATTTAATGGAAACAGGAATCTTAATTTTTAAAAACTATTTTAATTAGATTTTCATAAATTATTAGGAATAGGAAAATTATTACATCACAAGAAAAAAGATTTATATCTTAAATCATCACAAAAAATTGTTTAAAATCCTTAGTTACAACTGAGTTACTATACTTAATTGAGTTTTTAAACTATTAATTTAAAAAAAATTGTGATTCTATTCATAAAGTAATGACCATCTAAAAAGAAGAGATTAAAAAAAAAAAAAGTATGTTTAGATTTGCAAGAGTACATGACATAAGCCGAAATTCATCCAGATGTAACATTATGCAATTAGCTGTATCAAGGTTGAAAAATTATGAAAATGGCGGATGCCTTGAAAAACTCACTCATAAATTATATTTTTAGTGCACTTATTAATGTGTAAGATCTAATCAATTATTTGGTCACCTACATTCCTCAATTTCATTTTCAGCCACTGATTAAACTTACAAGCTATACTACCAATACTATAAGAACTATAAGGAAAGGAGTCACTTCCTTTTTAAACATTTAGGATTCCTTCAAAGTAAGAACCATTTGCAAATATTACTGGCTCAATGAAAAATGAATTATTTGTTCAACTTCATCCAATACTCATATCAATAAATCACTGGTTGGATAATGTCACAATAATGTTTTGGTAGAGAATTTTCTTATTTTAAAAGCAGACAGAAAAATTCTTAACCATTTTGTTAAAAATTATCAAAAATACATAGAAATTTGTGAGATTTTTCTTTAACAAAATATAAATTTGTCAGATTCATCAATGCAAAAAGTTATTACCTTGATCCAGCAGCCATGTGCCCTTTGGTTAAAAGCATCATATTTCATTATATATATATTTTTTTTAAATGGCTAAATTTCTACATTCTAGTTCACATTTGACCTATTTAGGATAGAAGTAAACTCTAGCCAAATAAATTTGTTCAACATTGTGACAACAAATATATAGTATATAAAGGCACAGTAGGCCATGGACAACAAAGTTACATCATAGTTTTCTGTTAGCTAAAGTCTTTCAGTGTCCTAAAGTATAAAAATAATAATCACAATCCTAAATAAATAAATACCTATATACAGTAGTGGACAAAAGGCAGTTTCCGCAATAAAGATAAAATGCTTAAAAAGAAATAAAACTGAATTTCAAAGAGGTGTAAAGAAAGAGTAAGCTTGATGTAAATTGTCATTAAAACAAAAGTGATATGAGATTTTGTTCATATCAATAAATATATCAAACAAATGGTGTACTTTAAAGGTAACTTAAAAAAAACAAAATGTTCAAAAACCATCAAAACAGCCACATTATGGCACTCGGGGTTGCATCTTTCAGTGACATATACACTTACTGCACATTCCAACACATTTTACTAGATATGTTTCTATAAAACATTAAACAATCAGATCACACCTCCTTGTTTGAGAAACTGAATACTTGATGATTTGTCATATTTCGCATGTGCTTTATCAAATATGTTACTTTGAGACATCCCATCAGAAGATAGGAAATATTTGCTCCATCCCAAAGAGAAAATGAGATATCTCAAGTCTAAAACCTTTTTGAAAGTTTAATATGATAATCCATTGATATGCATTACTACACATGAAACATGAATGGCACACATCTTTATAGCAGCTAGTCCAAGAGCTCGGATCAGCCACAGCAAAACCTAAGAGATGTGAAGGCTCATTTAAAAAAAAAATTATATGTTGGTAATATAGTGGACAGAAAAGTAAAACAAATAAATAATTATAAAAATAATCACAATTCTTCATCTGTGGAGAATAACATGCTGCTTTTAAAAATATCTTCCATATTCATTGCTTTTCATAATAACTTTAAAAGAATACAAATACAAGAGAATAGTGGTTTTTAATTTAACTTCTTTCTAACACAATCCTTTTATAATAAACATCAACAAAGTTTTTGTACAGTTTGTATACCAAAAATATCTTTCTTGTTTTAAACTTAAATAAACTGAGTAAAAGTTAGAGCACATCTTCAAAATTAAACATCTTGAAGTGTTTTTGTTTTTAAAAAGCCAGACAAATAAGTGAAAATTTATATTCGTTGCTAGTCCATGTTAAAAAATAAAACAGAGAAATCAGCAGACCACATAAAGATACAAAAATTTAAGATGTAAACATCCTCTTCACCACACTCTGCAGGAAAGTAACATTTTCAAACTTTCTGTCACCTTTAAAACCCTGAACTGCATCATAGCCTGAATTCTGCAAACGATCTGTTCTAGTTCAACTGATACCAACCTATGACTAGACATGTCAACAACATTAATCTCATACATGTGGCAAGGGGTGAACTAAATATACCATTTACAAAAAACAAACAGGAAAACTGTTGAAAAAAAAACAGCTTGACAATATAACATCACTACAAAATAGCTCCCATTTCAAATTAGCTAGAAAATATATTTTTATATTTGCAGAATATTAAATCTCAAATTACTGTCTGATACCACATTACAAATAAGTAGTAAAAATTGTGAAAAAAATTAAAATGACATCTATTAACTCATGCATGGCCAAGAACAATGTTTTAAAAAAATTCCCATTGACAGTAAGCATATGTCTAATAGATTTTAAAAAATCTGTGTAAACAGTTTATAAAAAACACAATTCTGTTAGAAACTTACTTGAGTAAACCCATGTGGTTTCATCAATGCAGCCTTTCAAATCTTTCTAGGTACAGGTAACACAAAATATAATAAGATTGTGATAAATGTAATATTTTAGCTCTAATGTTTAAATAAGTATCTTCATTCTGACATTACACTGCAATCCAAGGGTTCTCATCTTTTATTATGACTGAATGAAATATAGATGCGAAAACTAGAGATGTAGATATGAAAACTTGAATTCTAGCAGTTGGCTGAGAGCATGTTCAGGCTATTTTATATCCAAGCCATAAAAAAAAAATGATTATGATAAAATGTTTGTGATTTGAGCTTTACATTAACAAACATTAAACATTTTTAAGGATCTGAATTTTAACAAAAATCTCCTGAGTTTTGTGTCTCTGGAGTGCTAAAACTTGTTATTTTGGTAAATTTTGTACAACCAAATAATTAGAGGGGAAAAATGCTTTTATTTTAAGTTCAATTAGAGATTTAGTTATGATTTATATATATGTTACTTTAAAAACAATTAACTGAAACAATTTCAGAACCGATTCTTAAAAAACATTGGCTTTCATTTTTAACCTCCAATGACTTTATCTTATGATTTTATCTTACCCTGACACAGGTTGGAATATGTTTAACTTAGACATAAGTTCTAGGCTCAGGGTTTTTACGCTTTGTGTGTCGTTGAATGATAGCAACATCGTCACTGTGATGTGGCGAGTAGCGGTTGTCGTCATCATCACCACCATGGGATGACAGGTCCACACTGCTGATCTCCTCTCCGTGGGCCCGTTTCAGCTCTGTCTTTAGGACAATCTCATTGGTGATGTAAGCCTCCCTGTGGATTTGCTCTTTCAGAACAGTTGGTACATCTGGGATGAGCCAGGACATCAGGCTTGTGAGGACAACCACAACATTCTGGGAGATGAAAATACACTCTGTCACTTCACAGACAAGATAAATCAAGTAGATTTATGAAATAAAAATTTCATGGACATGATTAGTGTGAAATAAAATTGGTTCCCAGGATCTGTTTTCGAAATATATCATGCAGCAACAAACAGAAGCCACTGCTGTAACTATAATTTCTAAATATTGAGTCTTTGGGCTGAACATGGGTTAAGGAAAATATCAACAAAACTTACTGGTTTTTAACAACAACCAATATTAATTCTACCTATCTACTTGACAGGAAATACATAACGCTTCAGAAAGGCATCAGGGGAAAAAAAGTGTTAAGAAAGAAGACTTTGGAAGGTTTTATGCATGGAAATGGATATGACAGTTATGGGGAAGTGGTAAGAAGTGCATCAGCAAGATAGTCTGGTGGGTTTCTTTCACAGTATTTAAATAGAGAAAATGTCTTCTTACCTCAAATACAACAACAAATGCCAATCTGGCCGCAAGGATATGCCAGAAAATGATTGATCTGCGATAAGCCAGGTCAGGATCTGGGGAGTATGAGTCACGGAAATCCTTGTACCTAAGAAATGAATTAGATTACTTGAAATTTTCATTTACTTTCCAGTCAGTATTAAGTATTTAAAGAATATTTATAACATATAAAGATATTTAAAATATATTTAAATGGACATGCATAAATATGGAGGTGGATGGCTTTCTGTCAGCATAAAAATCTAATACTAATAAACAGTAGAGTTGACTTTAAAAAAAAAAGCGAAGAATAAACAATGGCTCAAAAAGTTAGCATTATTAGTTTCAATCATTCTTGCCACCTGGACTATGAATCCACTACCAATGTTAAATTAGTTCTGGACACAAGAGTCAAGTATATTTTCAAGTCACATTCGGGTGTATAATTTTATCAGCTTCTGTAAAGCTATACCAAATGCCTTTAAGTCCACTAAATATATTTCCCCGTACCTGCAGACTTCCACAACTCCCAAATGTGTATCTTTTGGCTTGTCAATTTCAGCAAAGTCAGAGGTGTTAAAAGAAGCCATGGTGAAGTTGACATAACCTTTGAGTGTGCCATCCTCACTGTACCTGGCAGTGTACACCAAGCGAGGGATGAATTCTGATGTCAAGGCTATGATAAATGCCTGGGGTGAAGCAAAAAAAAACAAATGGTGTGAAGTATCAGTTAATAAAAACAATCAGACTCAGTGGAACATTTCAGACAATTTGTTGTTATCAAATGCAATTGAGTTATGGGCACCAAATTTGAATTTCAGGTTCACTGAATTTTTACCCATCCTTGAAAGTAAACTTTTTAAAATAATATTTTCTTGAAAATCAGAAAGTGATGTCATTTATGCTATTTATTTCCTTTTGCATATTGCAAGAATAAAATCATATAATTTAGCTGATAGATTATTTTAAATCATGGTCATTTGCAAATATTGAATCCTTTAGATGAATTTTATAATATAGATAGAAAGGGTTTTTACTATTATGTTGAAATCACTTCCTTTCTACTCCTCTTTACTTTGTTTTTGTCTGGTTTTAGTGCCATCTCCTATTTTTTTCTTTTTTAGGTAGGATATGTATATTTATATTATGTAAATTTAATTTATATTTATTTAAATGTGTTTGTACTGATGAAGGCATGTGCCGAAACGTTTACTTGTGTATAATGTATAATTATTATTAAAGCGTAACTTATATTGTTAAATTGACACAATTTGTTGGTGTCTTTTTAATCTATTTTAAAGCTTTATTGCAGTCCAACACTTTTTATAAAATGAAAAAAGACTAATCATAGGACAGATCAAGAAGAAATGAATTAAAGAATTTAGGTTAAGAAAATGACCCACAGGTCAGTGGGGGTATATTCTTGATCAAATTGTTTTTCAACAAAAATATACAGGCCTATTTTTAAAATGAAGAAGTTCATTCTATTTTACTCAAAACGATAAATGTGCATAATAAAACAGAGTTGTAGTAGACAAATATTTAAGTCACAACTTGCAACCAACACAACTTACATTAGATATAATGGCAATTCTTGAGATTCCATATAGTACACTGTACCAAATACCTGAAAAGAAAGACAAACTTTAAGCTTTTTGATGCAGTATGTTAAATTTTGAGCTGTAACTCATTCCATCTGACCTCCATGCCAGCTGAAATAGAGATTCACCTCTAGCACCAAAGCAGTGTTTGGCAGTAAGGGGCCATCCTTGAACAACCTTATTAGTGTGTGTGTGTGTGTGGGGTCTAAGTGTTTAATTTGTGTTACATATTTGTGGAAAGAAGGGGGGGGGGGTGTTATGAGGCCAAAGTCAACCAATAAAGCTTGATGCTTCTTATCGATAGCCCCAACTTGCCCTCTCAGGGCAGTAGATTAGCTGGTGGGGTACAGTGCAGTAGCTGGGATGAATTTAGCAGCATGCTGCCAGGAGGCTACATTTGAACATTTTTTATTGTAGCCCCCAAATTAAATTTTTTTATTACTTTGGAAGAAGCTAAAAAAAAACAACATAATTTTAAAATATATATATATCATTGACTTTATATTCGTAAGGACCAGGTCTGGAATAAACAAAAATCTGAGGGTGCTTATTTACTGACCAATGTTTGCTGTCTTTTCAGCCAATGGTCTTCTGAGATGAGTAGTGAACTTGCTGGCATCCACTCGGATCTCCACAATGTTGTTGATCAGGGCAAACAATGGAGCCAGGGGGAAGGCAGCACAGAAGATGGTAAGAAATCCAAACTGTAAGGCTGGGGCAAACAACAAAGCAGACTTCTAGTTAAAACAAATATACTTTAATTCCAAGGAAGATTCAGATCAGCTGGGTTTTAAAGCTAAGGAAACAAAACAGACTAAAATTACGTGTTGATCTGAATCAAAAAGAAATTACTCAAAGCTTTGGCCTAAAAACTAATATTTTCAAATTTATTTTTAAAACAATGCATTAAAAAATATACATCTGAAATTGTATTGCAAGTTATATATTTATTTTGGGTGTCTCATTGAAGCTCTATTCCACTGACAACGGGGTGGAGTATTAAATGCCACCAGCAAACCCCAAAACAGGATCTGCCAATACTTCAGTGAGATGTGAAATAATACAGCAATCTACCTACCCATCTCTAGATATTCGTAGAAGAGAGACATGGACTCAGCAGGTGCCAATAAGTAATCCTTCTCCCAAGGTGTTTTTGCCAACTTTTGTTCTCTGGTCTCTTTAGATAATTTACGCTTGATCAAATTAAGGAGCTTTCTGCAATTCAAAAAAATTAACCAATTTTTTACTAAAGTAAACCAAGCTAAAATAATGTTTTTATGTGTTTGCAAGCCATTTACATGGATTATCTAAGGATGACAAGCCTTTTATATAAAGTACATTTTCTCTAATTTATAAAAAAAGAAATGATAAGAAGGTGCAGCAATTTGCTACTTGATAGTTTGCTGCATAGATTTCAAATGTTACTCACGGTACAAAAATTCAAATTTTACTCAAGGTATCAAAATTCAAATGTTACCCACGGTACAAAAATTAAAATTTTATTGACGGTACAAAAATTAAAATGTTACTCACGGTACAACAATTTCTATAAAATTATTCTGTATAAGCTGTTTGCCAACCATTATAATGGCCAGTTGGATGCACAGCTCAATAAGGCAACCTCCTGCCTCACACTGAAATCAAGGATAATATTCTCACTATTTATAATAATACATAGTGTCTTTTAATACTTGGTTTCTAGAGTTGCGTGGACATAAACATGCTACGAAAGTTTTGAAGAAAATTAAATAATTTAAGATGTATTTTACATTGGTAAAGGTAAATATTGGTATAAATTAAAACAGCATCACTTTTTAAAATGTAATTAATTTAAAAGTTTATATTCACCAAGAATGCTTTGATGTAATAACTCCGCAAAGTTTATCCTTTTTTTTTTCAACAGACAAACCAAATACAAATCACAGCTGTGAAACATTTGAGAGAATGTCACACAACTAGAACAACCTTTGTACAGACTCAAAAGAGAATCATTAACTTACCTCTTCTTGACGTCCACCAAATATTGTCCTGTACTTGCCAGGTCTACCAACAAATCTGTTTGACAGTAAATGAAAGCTCATGAAAAAACCCAAAATATTTGAAATATAAGAACAGACATTTTTGTGACATCAGTTATGTAGTTGAAGTTAAAACAGGTTCTAGAGCCTGTGAAACTAGATCTCTGAAGTCATCTTCATTCACTAATTAAAACATACATTTCATCAACTGTTTTACTTTGGTGACACGCAACTCCTCTACACACAACCCTAACACAGCTGGCTGATATCTAACAATGACAGTCATAACGCATGCACTCACCAATGCCCCAACCCAAGACTCTTGGGTTATATGCAGAAAACTGATGAAGTCACAAGCCCCATTCATCAAGGGGAAGTATGAAATCATAAATAAAATTGCGCATGACCTCTTCTGTATTTTTATGACTTTGTTTCTTTGTACTTACTGGCCTTTGAAGAAAGCGATGTAGAAGATAGAGCAGAAGTAGTTAACAAATTGCAGGGCAAAGAGCTTGATTGTGATGCTGCTGTCATATTCACTCTGTGTACGCAGACATTCCCAGTCGGTCAGCCAGAAGGCGAGGTAGCCGTACACCTAAAAAAATTATCAGAGAATTGGCTCAACTGACATTGTATTTAGTAATCAGGTGATTTTAAAATGATATAGCTGAACAGCTTATTACAGCAATCTCCATTTTAAATATTTTAGCCATCTTTATTTTATAGTTTTTTCTCCCACTCCCATTGTCATTGTACTTTGGTGATTTACCTAAAGTAAGTAACCAATTTTAAATTCTTCTACAAACTAGCCCCATGAGCACACACCAGATTAAGGACGATGATGATGGCCAAATTGATCAGCGCTGCAGTAACAGTGGTCACCAGACTGGCATTTTCATAAATCAAACCTGCAGTGGTGGTGACCACAGATGAGTTGCTGGTCACCTGCTTGGGCAACAGTTGCAGAGCTGCTAGCATGGAAACTCTGTAAGCAATAACCCCAATGACAGCTGTCACAGCTACAGCGGCCTGCGGAAAATATGGAGTTCTAACAGGTGCATTTTTGTTGCAGGTTATTCGTTGCATAGTGTTAATATTCTGACAATCCTATTGTTATCTGAATACTTTTTCCTAGTTTCCCTCAGAACTTACAGAAAAATTTAACGAAATACTTCCACCTCAGGGAGTAAATAATAGTGTCCTAAATTATCAATTATAACAAAATAACATATTTTAGATGCTGTATAACTTCTGACAAATATGTTAGCTGAGTAAAATTTGAACATTGAAGTCACAGTTTCTCATACTTTTTTTTTGGACATATGGAAGAACTATAAGTATAAGGGAGTGATATTGCATTATGAAAAAGCAGCTATGCTGCACAGATAGTAAAACAATACACATGATTAAAATAAAGCTGACATTGACCTTACCAAAAATAACATGATGGAGTATGATGTCAGAAAGATTGGAAAACGTCTGCGCCAGAATGGTAAATGGGGCTCTTTGATCTGGTCAGCAGAAAATAGTTTCTCTAGTTATGGCAGACATTTGAATTAATTAAAACTCACCCACATCCATTGTCACAAGAGATTTAAAGCATCCCACTTATTAAAAAAAGATCACTTTAGAATAGAGACTTAAAATTATTAGTTGATATTGGACAATAAATCGACTGATAAACTAATTATGATTTAAAAGGAAGCAGCCTTGCAGATGATCAGATCTCAAAGTGAGAGCACATTTTTGTTATGCAACTATGAAATAATAATTTTTTGTGTGATTTGTGTATCAAATAGTGTTTGGACACATGGTTATTTATGTCAAATTTAAACAATGATTTTCCTCACCCCTGTTACAGGATCAACTTTCATGGTCTGCCAGTTTTCCAATTTAGACAAGTACTCAGGCCTGGGAGGTTCCTGGAGATGTAAATTAAATAACCATTAAACTGATGTGATAAAAAGAAGTAGCTGATGTTGAATACATACTTCTAGCAACTGTTTAAAACTAGGACAGAAGATCTGTACATGTTTGAGGAGAATTCAATAAAAAAAAGAATGTAAAATGCCAGGTTTAAACTCAACTCCTTACTAATCAGCTTCTTGTAACATTTGCAACATAATTCCAATTAGTCCAATTCAGCATGTTTGATAAGAAATTTAAATTTCTCAATGTTTTCCGTTGGGCTTAAGTTTCATTAACTTATCCAATCGATTTTAAGGACAAATAAATCCTACATTACCACGAGGCAAGATAATCTTATAAAGATCAATAATATTACCTCCTCTTGAACAAATGTTGTCATATCCCACTTGTACTGAATTGTTGCCTCTTTTCTCTTCCAAAACTCCAGGAAAAGTGTACCTTGATACACAAAGGAAAAGAAATTAATGAGCAAACTGTTGTATTAAAAATTCAGTTTTTTTTGTTTTTTTAAATGAAAAAGATATTTTATTAATATTTAGGTTTTGTGTTATTTGTTAATTTTCTATAATTTTCAAATGCATTTGCTTTCAACTTATCCTGGGCTTTGCTAAATAATTAATAGAATAATAACTTGTAAAGAATAATACTAGGAAATAAACATATGATACAATTATTAATATTTGTTTAACTTTTAACAATTCTCTTATATGTGTGGGTTAGTCCAATTACCCCAAAGTGACATGAATATAGCAAAGAAGACAGTGGCTCCATTGTCAAAAATTCTGCTGGCTTTGGCATGAGAACATGCGTCACTGAGTTTCCAGTATGGGCAGCGGGCATCACACAAGGGGCACATGGTAAAGTTATTATGGTCATCACAGAGCTCTTTACTGAAAAAGGTAGTAAATAGTTAACTGGAAATTTTCTTATCTGAACAGCTGAGTGAAAGTTATCATGAATCACAGTCAGCAAAAAATATTTAAATCTTATTCTTAAAAATCTGTTTTAACATTTTAATGCTAGCAACAACATTGATTTTTTAATATTTTTACACAATTAATTTCTTCCCCATTTTAATGATAGAGATATTTTTTGTTTGTGAATTTTCCATGTCAATAATTTTAGACTGTTACTTAATTATATGAAAAAAAAAACTGGAAAATTCCTCCAACATTAACCCTGACTCATGATTGTACATGAAATGTGGGCCTATTATAAACCATAAAAGGCAGCTGATGTGTACGCAGAATCCTATTGCAGGGAGAGCAATATAGTGGTTATTTTTAAGAAAGAACATTTTTGACCAAAAAATTATAAGCGCCTACCTATGGTGAGCATGTGTTGTCAGTAAAGTAAGACTCACCTGGCAATGTTGGTGGTCATGATAGCAAGTCCATAAATGAATACAGCAAGTCCAACCACAGTGGCAGGTACCAACATAGTAGTGTAGAAGCCCAACCATGCAAAATACAGGGCTATCTTCTCACCAAAGTACAACCTTTAGGGATACAGAATGAAATTAACTAGTGAGCAATGCATGCACATGCACAACTCTCACAATAACAATCATTAACCCTTTGCATGCTTACTCTCCACATACATTAGGAAATACTGGTAAGTTAAATCCAATGCATACATAAACACTTACCACAGAAAATGACAAAGAAATCTAAAAAATCAATAATTATTTTAGCCTTTCCTTTTAATCTCAGTGGAATCAGAGATGGAATTTACATCACATTATGAGAAATATATAGCATAACATACAGAATTGAGTTCACTTTCATAAGAAGAGTTGTTACAAAAATATCTTTTCTCTAAGATTTTCCTTTTGATCTCAAGGGAAACAGATGGAATTTATATCACCTTATAAGAAATATCACATAATATGAAGCATTTAGTTCACTTTCATATGTCAGGTGGTTATTAAAATATTCATCTTCCCCATAAAATTCCAGTTTATATACATACAAACTTCATTGCTTACCGGACATAATCAACAGGTTGAAACTTCAAACTGTTTTTCCAGTTGGCCCAGTGATCAAACAAAACCTTGCGTGGATTTTCAGCAGATCCTGCCTTCCAATGGCCCTGGTCATCATATGAGTTTTTTTTTTAATATAGTTACAATATGATCATACTGTTAATTCTTATATTCATCAACATTAGACTAAATAATAATATTAAAATGGAGATATAGAAAATGTAGAGGTTGTCATAAGGGGTTAAAATAAATTGTTACATTTGATATCATTTTAAATTAGTCATTATAAACCAATTTTTAAAAATCTACCTCATGAAGTGGATAGGCAGCCGAGTAGTAGCCATCTGATAACATCTTCTTGACGCCTGGAACAGAAACATTTCAGTATTAAATTACAAATGACAAAGTGGCAGTAAACAGAATACATTAATTTTCCTCAGAATATTCCAAGTGAGAAGCTTCATTAAATATTAATCAGTCAAACAAGTGTTTCATTTACATTTAGTTTGCATAACAAATTGAAATGCACTTGCATATATTATAAGCCATGCTGTCCTATATCATATGTGATGTTTTCAATTTAAAAAAGGCAGGGTTATTAATCAGTCAAACAAGTGTTTCATTTACATTTAGTTTGCATAACAAATTGAAATGCACTTGCATATATTATAAGCCATGCTGTCCTATATCATATGTGATGTTTTCAATTTAAAAAAGGCAGGGTTGGGGGGGATATCAGTTATCAGTTTCTATGATAAACTGTTTTAGGAGAGGCTATATCTGAACAATGGCACAAAACTTGGTGATCTTAAAGTTTAGACAAATATAATGTTAAAAAAATGTTGGTTTGTTTAAGTAAAGAATCCACCTCACCAAAGGCAAAACTGTTGTCAGTACTGACAGCAAAAGGTTTCCTCCTTAAAATGTAGTCAACAATCCAACTTCGAATAGTGTTGTTAAAAAAATCATCTTTATTTTCTGGGATGTTAAACCTGGATGAAAAGGGTGAAAATAGTTACATTTCCAATGTGGAATCAACATATTTTACATTTATTAATATTGTGTATGTAATTCTATTTGTAAATAATTCCATTTGCAAGGAATTTTACACCCAAGTATTCAATTTGACCAAGTGAAACAGGGTATTCCTAAAAAAAACTTAAACAAAATAATAAAACATCCATTATTTACATTCAAACTGAAGACACATCATATTTCTCTTTAAAGATAAGATACTAAAAATTAAAAAATTGACATTTTATATCACTAATTAATTTCTTTTTTGTGATAAAATCTTAAGAGATGTATGATTAAAATATATAAAAAATACACCCCACTAGAGTAAGAAGAATTACTTGTTTTAAAAAAAAGAACTTCCCTAAGAGGTAGAAGAGTTACTTACAAATACTCTCTATTAGCACTGTATGGACAGGAATACGACCGAGTGATAGGGGGCAGCGCGGTTTCATCATAATGAAACAAGACAAAGGTTTTTCTTACAAGCCTAATAGTGTTCTCCCACAGCTTTCTTCCAAATGTTGGGATTGGAGCCTAGACAGAGTAAAAAAAAAAAAAAAGTACTAACAAAATTATCTAGCATGGACAAATGTATTTGTTAGTGTACTGTTTGAAACAACTACATCAAAGAAATAACTTTTAGTCCATATGGTTTATGCCATGCATTTTAACATGTAGTAAGGAAATAAGCATCTTGTGTCAAACTTATCACCCAGAAACTGGCACATAACACATTTCTAGAGCTAGCTATTATAAGTTAGTCTTATGTAAAAGAAATCAATTTATTTAGCCAATGATTTTCAACTGTTTATTCATTACCTACTGTGTCATCACCTAAAAATATTTTGAGTTTTTTTCTTTAAAGTTTGTATCATTTTAGTTTAAAATCACATTCTGGACACATACTTTGTTTTTAAATATTTTGAGAAAAGAAGATCACAAAAGGCAAAAAAACAGTATTTGAGATTGAGAAAATGTTTTTAATAATAGTGATGATGTCGGCCAAGTGAGTCGATCCATTTCCAGTAGCAGAATGCATTTGTAAGCTTAAGTAGTGCATGTAGTTGTTGGAATGTCAAATCAATGATTGAGAGACAGCATAATTAAAATGCTGGAAATTCTTAAGCTAAATGAAGCAAAAAACCTATCTAGAGACAAAATTCAAGGTATATCATGTTAGGCAAAAAACTTTTCAGAATTTGTGTGTGAGGAAAAGAAAAAAAAATTACAAAACAGCTATTTAGTCCAACTGAAGAATTATATGATTAACAAATGTTGCATATAAGTTAGAATAAGTAAAACTGAGATGATTTCAAACATGCTCATATTTCTTGATGGCTGGGAAAAACATGTCCACCAATTTATTGTTTTCTTAAATTTCTGTACAAGTCCTCGAGGGTATAAACTAAAAAAATGAATAGGTGTCTGAAATTTTTAAAGCCAACCAGTAAAAATTATGAAACTGCATTTCGTATGTTCTTCCACTAAAATTGAATGTAAAAGCAGGCTAAAGCTTACAATGGTGTAGCAAAAGGCTTTTAAAAAGGTCATGCTGGAGTCAGAGATTTAAGTAGGCCAGGGTTGATTTTTAGTAACCTCACCTACAACTCTACAGTAGTTCATGCTTATAATACAAGGTTGTCGAAAAATGAACTTTAGACTCTCTAAGGCAAAACGATACAACTCAAAAACATCAGTCTTTTATTCTATTCAATAAAAAAAATTCATTAACACTTAAAATATTTTCTAAAAATTAAAAACACTCAAAAGAGTAAATACTTTTAGGTAAAATAGATGTACTTTTTTGTTATTAAAGCATTCTTTATAGGTTTTAGTTTTATTTGTTTCTACTAATTTATTTATGTATTATCCTAAATTGTTTTATTAGAATAAATAGTTAAGAGGCTTGTACTACCAGCTACAATGCTCTTCATCAAATATTGCATAAATTATTTTAAAAAACTGACTTACTTTAAAAAAGTAAATAATTTTTATGTCAATTGAATGAAAACTTTTTATAGATTTTATTAGTATGTACATTTTTTTAAAGCAAGAAATAAAAGCCACTTTAGCTTACCAATGGGTCTCTGGACTCATCCTAAAAATTGCCAACAAACGATATAATAGAAATAAAAAGTGACTACTGATGACTTGAAAGGAAATGGCCTTCAGTTCAAACCTTAAATATTATTGCAGTAGAATATGAGCTTAAACTGTCAACCACTATACAAGAAACATGCATGGTCTAAGTCATGATCTTATCCTTATTTAAATATTGGTAGGTTTTCAAAAAAACAACAACAATATAAAGCAGGCTCAACTCATTGGATTAGTTAGATGTGTTTGTAATTTAATATTGTGTGTAATTAATCTATAATGATTCAAATATGAATATATAATACAATTATAGGACAGTATTAGCCAGTAATTATAATTATACTGAGCATCAAGCATACATTCATGGATGCATGCAAAGAATGATGTGATGGAAAATATCTTGCCCTCATATGAAACAACTTAGCAGCATTGGAATTTCAAGATGTTTTTTAAGAGCTGCAACCTATATTCAGCAACCTAATATCATGGCTACTTTTCTGAAAGCCTTTTAAAATAAACAGCATGCAGCAATTAGTCAAACAAACTAACTGCTGCAAGTGTATGTCCACAAGCTGCAAGTATGCTAAAAGTGCTTGTGATTGTAAATATGAAAGAGCTGAGGATCACTGAAGAATTTAATTTAAATAAAATAACTTAAATATAAAAGCTTGAAAACATAAGCAAATTGTAACAATAATAACCAATATATTTGTGCACATGTATAAAAATAGCTTTGTATAAATATCCACTACAAAAAATTCAGTGAACTGTTACTCTATGAAGTCTGTCAACTGAATTTCTTGTTTACCTACCCCAGACAGCAAAATTGCAAGGCAATATAGCCTTCATTAAGCAAAAAAAAAAAGCTTCACAATTTACAGTAATAAATGGCTAACCTGCCAGCCTGCATATCGTTCTCTTAAGTGCTGCTCTGCAAGTGCCTGGAAACAACGGCCGGCCGACCAGGTAACAAGGACATACATCAAGCAATGAGGTGGTCAGATGATGATTAATGAAAGGAAAACAAACCAATAACATGAGGCCTAGACATGTAAGGAAACTAACTTAATGAATACTGGATGAAATTTAAAATAAAGAGAACATTAGAATGTGGTACATACTTCTACTAGTGTGAAACACAGCGGTATCTTATTTTCATAGATTTTCAGGCAAATAAAATAAAAAAATATATTTATGCAAAAAATGTAAAAAAGATAATTAAAAAAAAAAGGGTAGGAATCTGAAAGACATCGAATCAAGATCTGTGTCACTTGAAGTGAGGCCAGCGATCTGTTTTATCTGCTTTGTGCTTTTTTTTTTTACACTTCTGTTAAACTAGTACTAGTAAAACAATTTACAATCCCTCCCTCAAGTAAAATAAAAAACAAAACATACTATGTGATATATAAATGACCAGGCTGACCAGTGGTCTCTAATACTTCCCTAAGGATGCATTAACTAATCCATAATAAGTTCATAAATATGTGTAGTTTATCTTAAGACATTCGCAAACCTCATAACAAATGAAGGCTATTTGAAAACCACAGAAAACACTCAGTGTTCAGTTTCTCTTTCTATATAAATATATTGAAGTGATGTGTTCATAGAAAAGTAACCAAGGATGGCTAGGTCATGTGCTTCTAAGGTATTGTGAGAATTTATTGGAAGAAATGTAAAACATGAACAATTATTTAAGTGTGTCGAACCTTTCAGGAATGTGTCAGGAAAATTAGACATCTGTTAATAAAAATTATTTCATATTATATGTATTATACAGTTAAAGTGCTTCAAGAAAATTTTTTTTTAAAAAATAAAAATAATTCAAGGACTTGATCAAAAAGTTGAAATACAGAGAGGGTAAGTGTCAAAAAAGCTGCTCGGTACTAACTAACTAGCTAAATCTGACATGTTCAATTTGTAGAAATGATTTTTAAAAAATGATCTTTCTCCACTTCCATTAACCAAAACTTTGTTGTAAAGCTCTACTGGCAGTCATGCAAACATTACCCAGCAACAAGCAGACAAAAGCAACAATAGAAAACCTGACCTAGAAACTAAAGACAATTTTTTTTTTTTTTACCTCTTTCATTGGCATTCGCAGTTTGAGAATGTCAGCATATCTTTTCAGAACATCGAACGGGGCATGAACTTTTACAAAATGGACACCTGTGCCTCTCTGGTAAAGGAAAAAAAAAGATATTTAAAATGATTAAAGCCACTAGAGCAAAATGAAATTCAATGTAGATTATGTAAAAACTAGTATTAACCATGAAGAATGACACCTGTTTTCAAAAGTTTAATACCGGTATCTAAGATTCAGATCATCAAAATTTATAATTATCTACAAAATAAAAATAAAAATATTTTTAAAAACTCTCGATAATGTAGGGAAAAATTTCTTTTATGAATTTTTAAGTGGATGCAACTACATATTCTTAAACTGCAACGCTATATTGTCTCTCTTAGCGTTAGCTCCAGACAGACGTACAGAGGGAATTATGCTAACTGAATATCCAATCTTTTTTTTGCTCTTCATCACATTGACAGGTCTAATCTCTCAGGCAGAAATCTCTGGCAAAAATTAGCACATAGAATCTGGGTTGTAATCAATAGGGAATATATTCTAGTTGAATTATTGATGAAATGGTTTGACTATTTAATCCTTGAAGACAAGTTGAAGTAAGGAAATATCTAATTTAACATACAGTATCATATTCCAATTGTAGTCCTTCTTTCACCAGGTTTTCCTCAAAGAGCTTTCTGGCCTGTTTGGCCGTTTCTGTTTTCTTATTGATTTCTGTTGTCCAAGCCAGGACAAAGTCAATACGTCGGTTACCATCGGAAAGGAATAAGTTTCTGACCTAAGAGTACAGAAAATGGAAAAGATTATATTTAGTTCCATGAAAATTAATTAGGTATTATCTGAGAAAAGTCCCATTTATATTAGTAAAGTGCCAATCCCATCTACATCTGTAAAGTCTCAATCTTAACTACATCAGTTAAGCGTAAATCACATCAGTAAAGTCAAGGGAACATTTAGTGGTCAAAACCCAGCTACATAGTAAATTATGATTTATTATTTAATGTCATAATAGCTTCCTTTTATATATTTTTTTGTTAAGATGGGAAATCACATCCAGCAAAAACGCTTAAAACATACATGTATGCATAAATGACATAAATATTTGTTTGAGGATTAATATTTTTTAATATTTCTTCATTCATGTAACATGAAAATAGCAACATATATAAAAAAAAACCACGTATTAGTAGTGTTAGTACAGAACTTCCAAAGACAAAAAAAAATATTTTTTTCCCCGTTATATAAAATAAATGACATTTTATGTCTTTCATTACAGGGTCTTCAAATATAAATTTGGTTGTTGTAAAACGTAACATTTAATTTTGCAATTTTGAGATTGATAGTTATATACAAAGTGATTAATTCTCAAGCATATGATTTATGTTAAAAATGTCATGGTTAGAGCACACTGCTATCAACAATGTAGAAATATTTCAAAGACTTATGATGATGTGGTGTCACTCAGCATAGTTTTAAGTACACAGTGTCACCTGGGGTTGTTGATTGTGTATGGAGCCAGTGTAAATCACATAATAGCCCTGGGACCATCTGACATAGACGAAGGCGACAGGACAATCCAATAAACTGAACGTAGCCCCCAGCATTCAAACCAATAAGAATGGACATGAAGAAAAAAAATATGAACCACTGTACATGAATTTTTAAAGACAATAAGGGTCTTTTTTATTAATCTACATTTATTCTATTAGATATTTTTCAAATTCTCAGGGTGATCCTTTCGTTTCTTTTGCAAAACTTGCTTTTTAACATACATTTTATTTTTCTATCTTTAAAGACCCATGAGCAATTTTTAAAGTTTCTGTATCATAGTAATCATCAACAAAAAAAAAATAAGATAAGATATTTTTATTTATCCAAATAAATGGAAATTTGTTTTTTACATTCATCGTACATATTTCCTTCAGCCCTTGTAATGTTAGAGTTTTTGTTCCTTAATGTTAGTCTGTAGCAAGACATTCGGCGTGAAAGTGTGCGGTAACTATTGATTTCTTTAATGACAAAAGTCTTGGATTTTTGTTTGAGCGGAGGTTTTCTTCTCCAAGATCAGCCTTTTGTCTGTAGTCCATTCGTCTTTAAATGGTTGTTTTGATCTTGCCATTTGTATACAAGATAGCGTCTCAATTATTTCCAATATGGCGGCTACTGATTTGTCTTGGTGTATGGCAACGATGTCCAAAAAATCCATGTAATCACTATTCATCGCGGTAAAAAACACAAGATTATCAGTCAAAGCAGATACAACACATTCAACACACCTTGATTCAAAAGAAAACGTAAAAACCTTTATACTTTTTACGAAAGCTGAAAAAACATGCACAGATGAAATTGAGTCGCCTGCAGAGCGGCGCCCTGAAATTGGGATGGATTAAATAATATCGCCACCCTGCCCTTCCTCTCAACCAAACACATATTTTTACTAACTGCGGAAAGAACAAATTATGTGAAACATTTTCACATGAATAAAATGCCAAGTCATGACAATAACCGTATTGGAAAAATATAAAAGTTGCAGAATTTGAAAAAGAAGGTCTCCTTGAAAGGATTGTCATTCTCCCCAGTAAGTATTTTGTATTTATTAGCCATTGTCACCTACATGCCAGTGAGACTCTGCTGAAACAGGGGAGCCAGATATCATTTGGAATGGATACCTTGTATCCAGATTAAGATGACTAAATAACATTTATTAATTTTTTTTCAGCCCTGGATTTATTCAAGCAGCTTTAACTCATTGGTAACACTGTATTTATATATGCTTAAATAAAGACAATGTTTAATCCCACACCTTCCTGGCTACTGTCCTGGTGGTTGAGACTTTTTACTTAGAATGATTTCTTCAACCTAATTATTCTACCATATCTGGGGACAACCTCAAATGAATTTTAGTCAAGCAACATTACCATATTATCACAGGGCCAACCTAGCACCAATGACATAACATTTGGCATGCTTAATAAAAAAAAAATTCCAAATGTCAAACCTTTACGACAAACATCAACATGAGCATAACTTAGATAACGCAAAACTTCCCAACCATTTATAGTTTTGAATTTTATCAAACAAAAGGATGAAATTTCTTATGAAAAGATCCTTCCAGGATCTGACAAATTTTGACCTATTGTGAAACCAAGTTAGCTCTCCACGGTGTAGGGAAATGGCTAGAATGACTTTGTTGAAACATTCAAGCAAAGTGCAAGTGATTTTATGAAAAACTTTAATATAAATGGAAAAGAACATTTTATCAATATCCCCCATATATAAATCATTCAATGAAAACTTTGTTGACCTTTTCATACCAAGAGAGTACTGCTGAATAAAACAGGAATATGAATAAGCACAGTTTGAAGTGCACAAACCTACAAGATGTTGTCACAAGCTATTCCCAAGCCGGAAGCCATGAAAATTTAATTTTTGAAAATTATTTTTAAAATGTATTAGATGATATTAGGCATCAACTCTTATACAATCCTCAGAGTTTAAAGCGTGAAGTGAAAAACTCGTACTTAAAGGATATTTAAAGGTTTTAGACATCAAAAACATTGACTTTTTATCAATTTTCAAACCCACTGTAGTCTCAAACTCATTTCATCAGGAATTATTAGAAGTGGTTTATTATTATTATTTTTTTATTGTTCTAAGTGATGTTAAGAAAGGTTTTTTTTCCACATTGCTTTGTCTTCCTTTGGGTATTGTGTTATTGAACATGTTTCTTTTACTCTCAATACAAAGAGCATTTATATTTATTGTACAATATATTTGATAAGAAAAAAAAAATCCTTGTCAGTTGTATATGGGGCCTGGGTGACACATCAGAAACACATTTTACATACACATAAAGGGCCATCCATAAACAATGTTACCCATTTGGGGGTTGTTGTGATTGTGTAACAAAAGTGTCATATTTGTGTTACAAATTTTGACTAATTCTTTTTTTTGGGGGGGAACTGGGGTGTGATGTAAAAAATAGGCCAAATTAATGTCACATCATCTACGGAAGGCCCCTTCATTCTTTTTAGACAAAATAATACAAAGGGAGGAGGGATTGAGCATAATAAAATACAGAACATGTGGATTTACCAGTAAAAACGCACATGGTTTACAAATATCACAAAATACATTTACTATGTAATGCATGTATTTGAGCACAGCTTTTCTTGTAGTTGATGAGCAATTTTATTGTTACCAATGAAAACAGACATTGTACTAAACCGTAATTACTGGTGTTTTGTTTTAAAATATTCACATTTCAAGATCAAACCGCAAGCTGTTAACTGCAACAATAACTTCAATAACAAATGTACTTACTGTGGTCTCAAGCTTTAGAAAATTAAAAAATTAAAAGTGAGAAAGAAATAAAACTTAAAAAATAGATTACAATGGGATGGGACAGAGACAGATTTTCTAAATGCAAGTATTTTACAGTCAATGGTGTTTGAAGGGAGCGGTCTATCCCATGGCACTCTTTTCTATATATTGAGGGGCTGCCATTTTCTGCCAACTGCCCCACAGCTTGGGGGTGGGGTGGGGAGGGGGAGGGGAAACTTGGTCTGCCCCATGCAGCACTCATCCTTGCTACACCACTGACATGGATATAAAGAAGTTCTAAAAAATGAGAATGTAAAAGTTTATCCTCCTCATGAATTTGCATCATAAATTTTGGGAGTAATAAGGAACAGTGACATTTAAAATAAGCCTGAGTCACAACGAGTCACAACTAAACACCAGACCAAAAAAGAATAAAAAGGACAATATAAACAGATGTAATCATACCAGTCAGTGACATTTGCTAAAGCAAAAATCCTTGGCGAACATTATTTTAAAGGGCATTGGATACTTATCTAATAGTAAGTGACACAAACTTTGCCATACTCAAGGCATGTAAATGATTGTAACATTTCAGACTAGTAAATAGCATTTTATTTCTTAAAACAAGTTTTATGTATGTATTGACCCCTGACCAAATACATTTCAGGAGGAAGGGTGCTGCAGGCCAATGTGGCCTAAGTATAAGGTGTAGGCAAATGGCATAGATGCATAAATGCATTCTGCAATTAACTCCTGCACCATATTTAGTCTAAGTGCTAAACAATCAAGACATTTAAACCCATCCATATGAAAAAAATATCCTTAAAAGTAGAAATGACACAGTATGACATAATAATAGTGCTATTCTACAGAACAAATAAAAAATAGCTTTTACTACAGTATTCCAAAGCAAACAGTCCACATTCTAGGAAATACATTCTTAGCCTGTATTAGACAATGAACAGAAGATGGTAGTGAGAGAGGAGCACAACTTCAACACAGTGAACAGAAGATGGTAGTGAGAGAGGATCACCACTTCACCACAGTGAACAGTAGATGGTAGTGAGAGAGGAGAACCACTTCACCACAAAGAGCAGAAGATGGTAGTGAGAGAGGATCACCACTTCACCACAGTGAACAGAAGATGGTAGTGTGGTAGTGAGAGAGGATCACCACATCACCACAGAGAACAGAAGATGGTAGTGAGAGAGGAGAGCCACTTCACCACAAAGAGCAGAAGATGGTAGTGAGAGAGGAGCACCACTTCACCACAGCGAACAGAAGATGGTAGTGTGGTAGTGAGAGAGGATCACCACTTCACCACAGTGAAAAGAAGATGGTAGTGAGAGAGGAGAACCACTTCACCACAAAGAGCAGAAGATGGTAGTGAGAGAAGAGCACCACTTCACCACAGTGAGCAGAAGATGGTAGTGAGAGAGGATCACCACTTCACCACAGTGAACAGAAGATGGTAGTGAGAGAGGAGAACCACTTCACCACAAAGAGCAGAAGATGGTAGTGAGAGAGGAGCACCACTTCACCACAGTGAACAGAAGATGGTAGTGTGGTAGTGAGAGAGGATCACCACTTCACCACAGTGAACAGAAGATGGTAGTGAGAGAGGAGCACCACTTCACCACAGTGAACAGAAGATGGTAGTGAGAGAGGAGAACCACTTCACCACAAAGAGCAGAAGATGGTAGTGAGAGAGGAGAACCACTTCACCACAGTGAACAGAAGATGGTAGTGTGGTAGTGAGAGAGGATCACCACTTCACCACAGTGAACAGAAGATGGTAGTGAGAGAGGAGAACCACTTCACCACAAAGAGCAGAAGATGGCAGTGAGAGAGGAGAACCACTTCACCACAGTGAACAGAAGATGGTAGTGTGGTAGTGAGAGAGGATCATCACTTCACCACAGTGAACAGAAGATGGTAGTGAGAGAGGAGAACCACTTCACCACAAAGAGCAGAAGATGGTAGTGAGAGAAGAGCACCACTTAACCACAGTGAGCAGAAGATGGTAGTGAGAGAGGAGAACCACTTCACCACAAAGAGCAGAAGATGGTAGTGAGAGAGGAGCACCACTTCACCACAGTGAACAGAAGATGGTAGTGTGGTAGTGAGAGAGGATCACCACTTCACCACAGTGAACAGAAGATGGTAGTGAGAGAGGATCACCACTTCACCACAAGGAGCAGAAGATGGTAGTGAGAGAGGAGCACCACTTCACCACAGTGAACAGAAGATGGTAGTGAGAGAGGAGCACCACTTCACCACAAAGAGCAGAAGATGGTAGTGAGAGAGGAGCACCACTTCACCACAGTGAACAGAAGATGGTAGTGAGAGAGGAGAACCACTTCACCACAAAGAGCAGAAGATGGTAGTGAGAGAGGAGCACCACTTCACCACAGTGAACAGAAGATGGTAGTGTGGTAGTGAGAGAGGATCACCACTTCACCACAGTGAACAGAAGATGGTAGTGAGAGAGGAGAACCACTTCACCACAAAGAGCAGAAGATGGTAGTGAGAGAGGAGCACCACTTCACCACAGTGAACAGAAGATGGTAGTGTGGTAGTGAGAGAGGATCACCACTTCACCACAGTGAACAGAAGATGGTAGTGAGAGAGGAGAACCACTTCACCACAAAGAGCAGAAGATTGTAGTGGGAGAAGAGCTCCACTTCACCACAGTGAGCAGAAGATGGTAGTGAGAGAGGAGAACCACTTCACCACAGTGAACAGAAGATGGTAGTGAGAGAGGAGAACCACTTCACCACAAAGAGCAGCAGACTGTAGTGGGAGAAGAGCTCCACTTCACCACAGTGAGCAGAAGATGGTAGTGAGAGAGGAGAACCACTTCACCACAGTGAACAGAAGATGGTAGTGTGGTAGTGAGAGAGGATCACCACTTCACCACAGTGAACAGAAGATCATAGTGAGAGAGGAGAACCACTTCACCACAAAGAGCAGAAGATGGTAGTGAGAGGGGAGAACCACTCACCACAGTGAACAGAAGATGGTAGTGTGGTAGTGAGAGAGGATCACCACTTCACCACAGTGAACAGAAGATTGTAGTGAGAGAGGAGAACCACTTCACCACAGTGAACAGAAGATGGTAGTGAGAGAGGAGAACCACTTCACTACAGTGAACAGAAGATGGGGGTGTGGTGTTGAGAGAGGAGCCCCAGGCCTCAACATGGTGAACAAAAGATGGTATGAGAGAGGAGCACCAACTCAACACAGTAAACAGAAGATGGTAGTGAGAGAGGAGCACCACTTTAACACGGTGAACCTGTACACACGCACCTTACCTTGGGTTTATCATTGGCCTTGTCTGCTGATTGCCCATCTGCATCTCCCCCATCCTCACTGCCAGGCGTGGCAATGTCATCATCAACACCATTAGCTGGGAAGATAATTTAAAAATATATTTATAACTGTTTAAATTTTAAAAAATATATATAATTTATTGGATTGTCGTTGTCGCCAAGCTGTTACAAAATATATTTCCTAAAATTCAATAAATTTTTTTTTAAAATTACATGAATATGGAACAAATGGAAAATGATCAGAAAAAAAAATCAGAAAAAGTTGTTTGAATGTTTTTTACCAGAGTATTTCAAAGATGCACTACTAAGCAGAGCTTTTTCTTTTTTTTTTTTTTTTTTTTTTGTAAAACCCCAACATCAATGACTGTTCATCAATTTATTCATTGGCATCGTTGTTTGACATTTCTATCATGATAATTTATACAATTGGAGAAATAGTTCACACTGGTGGGACTTTTTGTGTGTGCGCGTGGTGTTCCAGTAAATCAGTAGACCTAATACTAATTGTTGTCTTTTGGATTAGTTGATTATTAAGAGTAGGAAGGAACCATCACTAACAAGACTATAACAACAAACACCTGATTACTCTGTAGTTTATAGTACACACCACACAAATGACCATTAACAAGAAAATGTCCAGGGACAGAAATAACCTGAAGCAATGTTCGTGTAAGGCAAATGAACTATTTATGCTTCCCAGGACTTTTTTGTCTCTTGCCAACAGGAAGAACTTCTCATAGCTGCTTTTGCCTTAGCACATGTAAGTGGCCCCGAACATAAGTGTGTGTGTGTGTTTTTCAAGTTGGCTTGTGTGACGAACTTCAGCTATTGAATATATCTGACGATTATTGGAAATTGTGTCTATAGCAGAACAAAAAGGTAGGCAGTTGATGGATTATGTCTCTGTTATAGGCCTTCCTCACTTGTAAGCGGTTTTTACAAATTATTAGGATTATTATTATTTTAATTTTAAAGAAGCTGTTCCCAAATTGGGATGCTGATACCCAAAGGGTGAGAATGGCATTTACAGAAATGGGATGAAAGTGATTATAAATGGTAGCTATGAATGTTTAAAACATAAATATATATTCAAATACATTGTTACTTTTGTATGAGTTAGTAGACTTCGTAAAAAACTTGGCCGGGTTCCAGGGTATAGAAACTTTGTTGGGGAACCCTGGTCTATGGTTACTGAAAGCACATGACATGTAGTTAAGTCTGACTTGTTTATTGATGTTAAACAGCCTTTTTGTACATTTGAATTGGGGGTGGGGGTGTGGTTTACCAGAAGTCACCAAGCTTTATCTTTGGTCTGGCGTGGGCATGGGGAAGGGGTGTTACCGCTTCTTGCTGTCATTTACACCCCTAGAGGAAGGGCGTTTATTATTGATTGCACACACAATAGCAGCCCGGAACGGACATAAAGAACTGAAAACAATAACTAGTTTACCTTTGTTGAATGTCTTCAAGACAACGTGTGGAGTCTCCGGTGTGGGGCCAGTGTCAGGGGCGTAACTGTGAGCCATGCTCTAATGCAGTTAAACCACGCACGCTCTATTGGTTTTTTACGTTATTTCCCAATGAACCCGACAGAAACTTGATAGCGTCTCAGCACGACACCCCATTCAAACATTTCAAAGGCTTAATGTAGAAACTGAACTCTAGGTGTGTTCAGATGAAAATAGATTATCCAATTGAACTAGATCACCAACTTTAAGCCTGAGAACAGTAGTGTCTCAGCACGACACCCCATTCAAACATTTCAAAGGCTTAATGTAGAAACTGAACTCTAGGTGTGTTCAGATGAAAATAGATTATCCAATTGAACTAGATCACCAACTTTAAGCCTGAGAACAGTAGATGTAAATATCTAGATGTACATTTCTTCCAAGTTTAACTTTTAAGTGATGCTAAACCCAGCAGCACTGTCAACATAAAAACATCGTAGAGCAGGAATACGTGGGAGCAATACATTCCTATATAATCACACATAGTAGAAAACTCTTTGCTTTCAAAGCATTTACAGCTCAACTAAACATATATAAACATAGGTAACTTGAAATATGTATTTTATCCCAATCAACAATGCCTCAAATGTTTACACACTAAATTTGACTCTACACACCATGAACTTTATGACTAGTGAAGTGTGTTACGAGTCAAGCTGAGCTGTGACTGTATATAGGTCAACCTATGAATCCGTGAACCCCACCACCCAACACCCCTCCCCAGAATCCACTACCTGCATATTTGACACAAACATTTGCACCTCCAGCCTTCCACCCTAACCACCCCCTCCCCCAACTTTAACAAAAGTTGCTCCAATAGGGGATGGAAGAAACAAAAGAATTCTCAGGTCAGGAGGATTCATGCAGTGTCAGCAATGGGGTGAATGAAGGAGGCAACATAGTTCAAAAAAGTTGAGGCCCTTTAAAATTAATTAAGCGTGAATACTGTCTACTTTTTAAGTCAGTGTTGTTCTGGTGATAACTTAAAAGTAAATCGATAATAAATAAATCATTTAAGAAACATTTAAAGCCACTTTTTTTCTTAAAATAGATTTCATGACATCAGAGCGCTGGGAGCACGTTAAAATAGCATGAACACAAGCGCTATAAAACTATTCAATCATCTTCAACAAATAATAGATAAGCATTTTCAGTTTTCTTACCACCTTTAAATGCATTTACGACATCATTCAGAGCGCTGGGAGCACGTTAAAATAGCATGAACACAAGCGCTATAAAACTATTCAATCATCTTCAACAAATAATAGATAAGCATTTTCAGTTTTCTTACCACCTTTAAATGCATTTACGACATCATTTCAGATGCCAACTTTAAAGTATGGTTCAATTCTTTTTGCTTTTAACAAAATGTTTTAGAGGTTTGATACCCCGACATCAAGTTCAAACTACAAAGGTTCCAACACAAAAAACAAAAACAGGAGCCTCTCAAACAGCGTTCTGTATTTGTTTAGAATTACTTTTTGTTTCGTCATGTCAAGACGGTCATCGGCGAATCGTGAAAAGCCCCAAAATGTGTTGTTTGGTCCCAAATGGCAATACGATCCATATCCATAGCGTATGAATTTATAAAGCCCGCATTTGAAAGCTAGAAGGCTTCAGGTACAAGCTCGAAGGTCACTACTAATAAAAGCTTGAACACCCAAGATGAAGGCTTGACCACCAATGATGAAAAGCCATATATCAAAACTTGAAGACGCACATACTGTGCCTGGGCTATGAGTATGAGACCCTTGCTATATTATAAAGGGGCATGGTAACAAATGGCACAGAAATGCCCTCTCAATGTCCTATGACCCTGCTATAAAGGGGCATGGTAATAATAAATGGCATAGAAATGCCCTCTCAATGCCCTAAGACCCTTGCTATAAAGGGGCATGGTAATAAATGGCACAGAAATGCCCTCTCAATGCCCTAAGACCCTTGCTATAAAGGGGCATGGTAATAAATGGCACAGAAATACCCTCTCAATGCCCTAAGACCCCTGCTATAAAGGGCCATGGTAATAAATGGCACAGAAATGCCCTCTCAATGCCCTAAGAATATGGTTCTTGTCCATGTTCAGCCATTATTCCCCATTAGGCTGTGGGCCGATTTCAAAATGAATTACCGGATACTAAACCACCCAAACGTTTGGATGTGATTGGTCGAACTGACCTATAACTTTAGGAAGCATTCATGTTATGCAATCAGATTTGGCCATTAAAACTGGCATTTCAAAAGCAAATAATGGCCCATAAACGCGCATGATAGAATTTGTAATGGGTTGGTATAATTTTAATGATCGATTCCCATGACCAGACCAATCGGTATTGTCGGGAACATTTCATTGGATAGATCATTGTAAAGGTTCATCACGCGGAGTCAGGTTCTCCTGACGGAAGAATCGATCATGTGCGAGCACTACTGTTTGGTCATGTGCCTTACAAACAAAATTCTCAAGTCCGTATTACACAGTATTATATAGTTACGTTACTGCATTCGGTACATTTTACATACACGTTACCCGGTGTAATTTTTTTACTTAGTCGTTTATTGCCAGACAAATTCAAGAGTGTATACACAACAATAACAATAAAACATCGATTCCAACTTACACCATCACCGAGGGGGACAATACTCAACACACATTTAGCCAGTCGTTTCACTGTTGCGGCCCTTAAGTTTGAATTTTGTTTGCATTTTTATAATTCGTACATACTTCTAAAGTCTTTTCCCCACCCATTTTCTTTTTATCCCTTTTAAATTGGAACCCTGCAGCGCAAATCAATGACAGAAGAAGGCTATGAATAGACTGTGCAGAGGTGTAGACGAACAGATGAGATTTGAACACGTGTGCATTCATACAGAAAGTCACACCTCTTCTTGCTTTCAGTGGACACCTAAGTAGAAATCATTAAAAATTATATCCTACTAGTGACGTAGCTAGGGTTAGCACCGCCAACCGTTCGTGACACAACGAAAGACCGCTGCAAGAGACCGAAAATGCCTTAAGTGTCTCTCGTGATGACGGTCAGCGCAACCCCACCCCTTTTGTTTTGTTTACGCGTGGTCCTGAACAATGTGGACTATCAACGTTTAAGAAAACTTTTCATAGGCATAAAAAGTACCGGTAGTTAGAAATGTTGAACATTCAATCATTCACTTCACCACCCCCTCCCCCCCACCCCCAATCAATCCTCTTTACTAAAGTTTCAAGTTGCCAGTTATGAAAGTTGTGAATGCCTGTAATGTAATATGCAGGCATGTTCATCTTTATTAAAAAAAAAAATATGGGTGTATGTAACCTTCCACAACTTACTGTGTTTTTGACAATCTAAAAGACAATCTGGCTATGGAAAATATGTCTTGAATTACTCGTATTCATCTATACAAGTGCATATTTTTATCATTCAGTGTATCGAACGGAAAAAGGCAGCTCTTTTGAAGAGTTTTGTTGCACCCTGTTTAAGCCCCATGATCAACTTCCTTTAATGTGTAATGTGACTCTCACGATTAGTTTACCATAG